AGGATGGGTATTAAATCTTCTTTGAATGTTTGGTAAAATTCACTGGAGAAGCCATCTGGTCCTGGACTTTTATTTTTTGGGAGGTTTTTGATTTCTATTAAAAATGGAAACTGTTTTTGAGCTAATACCTCTGACAAGTCCTCAAGGGCTCCCGCGCAGAAAGCAGTAATTTGTCCTGAAACCCTCTGGTTCTTGTCCTCCTGCCCCACCGGCCCCAAGACCAGGAGGAGGCAAGGCCTGATTAGATTATGAGCCCAGGCTGGGATGGCTCTTAGAACCTAAGCAAAGGTGCACACTTGAGGGTTGCGGAGGGTTTTCCTCCTACATGACTGAAGATGTAAACACATATGTTATGTTCTCACCTTGAATTCATTTTTAACTCTTTCCTGGAAAACACTCTTTCTACGGTGACATTGGTTTTGATTCAGAAGTTTGTGTGTGTATTTGGTTGAGAAAATGCCAAACTGCTTTGCTTTCAAAATCCTAGCTCTCAACCTATTCTTTCCTACTTATATTTAATCATCTTGCAACAGACTGTAAAATCACCTTGCAGCTATGGTAACTTATGAAGCCACTGAGCTACAAGGACCCACACCAGCAGTGTTGCTAGCAGGATACTGCCTTTTCCTTGTAAAGTTCTTATTTTCACAAAAGTGGAAAATTAGAAGCTACAGATGCCACAAAGCTGGTGGAAAACAAGAACAGTTTAGAATGACAGTTTTAGAATGCCAGTGTTGTACTTTAATTAGTTTATTAATTTTTAAATTAACCTTAGTAACTCTACCCTTTAGAATGGATACTGAGCTCCAAAACCACAGTATCTGAATATTTCATACCTGGAGAATAATCTGTTCTCAGAGGCCACATTCACACAATAAAGCACTTTTTGGAAGCTGACATTGTGATGGAAATACCCCTTTTAGTTTTATCCACAATTCCATTCAGTGTTATTTTCTTCCTTCTTTCTTTTGGTTCATTTTCCAACCCAATAAAATACACTGTTGACTTTTTTTGTGAACTCTAACCTAGTATTATGATACCGTGGAGCCCTTTGACAAAAACGACAACTATAGGTCCCATCCAAGGTCCATCCTAGAGTTCTGATGTGATTCAGCACCTGTTGAATTTTACATTAAATGAGTTGGTCCTATCATTTCTATTTGAAAATTTCAAAATGAAGCCTCACTGAATGGGAACCTGTGGTGAAACAGAAGTGCCAACTCTGAAAATTCGCTGGGTTTACATGTGGCAAAAATAAAATGCAACAAATCACGGTAAATCTGGAGAAAGGGTGGCTTTTTAATAAAACAAACACATTCAAACCTCAACCTGGTACAGTAATTGCATTTTATTCATGCACCCGGCTGTTGTTATTTCTGAATCTGATATTTAAATAATCAAAGTGACCCAAACAGAATAAGGAAGGAGGCAGAGGGGACGGAGAGACAAGACCAGGAAGGTCAGCAGGAACATTTAGAGCAGGCCGCATCTCACCAGCCCGGTGGGGAGGGCGGGGTCGAGAACTGACCCCTCCCTCCTCCTCTACAGGTCCAGTGCAGGGAAGAGGAAAGGCATCATCTGCAAACGCGTACTTACTGACAGAGGAGTCTGTGTGTTGCACATTTTTAAGCAAGAAAAGGTCACAGAACAATATGCACATTGATCCTAGTTTATACAATAAAACAATGCAATACAACAAAAAACAAAGATACGTGTGTGTTGTCATATGCATAGTAAAAAGGTTTGAGAAAGACAGACACTGAGTTAATCAAGGTCATCTGAGGACTGGGTGGGTAATGGGGCATCTGGGGGAGGGTGGCCTTTGACTTGACTTTATACACTTCCAGGAAGTAGAGAAAGAAAGGAAGGCAGGGGAGGAGGCGGGGAAGGGAGTAGGAAGAGGGGGAGTGCATCTTGTTAGGGGGGGATGAGCCGCAGTACTTAGTTATAACAGCCTTCCCCTGTGCACCAGCTCTGTCTGCCCATCTTCCTTAACACCTCGCTCTGGGAAGATGTGCCTGGGTGTGTGCATGCATGTGTGCACGAGTGTGTGTGTGACGGGCCCAGGGATGGTGCTTGGAGGGAAGGCTCCTCACCATTTCTCTTCCGTGCCTCCTCCTTTGTCACTTTCTGCTGTGCCATTACATTCTGGGGCGAGCGCCTGCCCGAGCTGGGCTTCCCTGATTCGTTGCTGATGACAGAGCCATTCTCACTGGGCGACCTGCTGGAGGTAACCATAGCAACAGGGAGATGGTAAGTTTTGACTGGAGCAGCCGCCTCTCAAGGTTATTTTATTTGCACAGTTTATGTCTGTAGCCTTTCATTCCAGTTTTACCCACATAGAAGAAATGATACAGGAAAAGAAAAAAAAAAAAAACCCCACTCCTCAGCAAGGGGTTCAGCAGCTGGCTGTTCTGAATAGCCTTCAGCAGTGCTTAGCTCTGCAGAGAAGTTCACTGAACGCAGCTCCCCGTTCCCACCTCTCCCTCATCAACCCCCAGGGACTATGGAAATAGTGGCCGTGGCATTCGTAAGCACGCCCTCCTTCTCAACACAGCACACGGATAGTGTGACAGAGTGGCTGCCTCACACGGCACCTTCAGGGACGTGCACGAAACACAGTTCTCTTCGACTATTTTCCTTACAGAATATACCTTGACTACTAAAGATGCAGTCACTCCACCAATGAGTTCTTCACTCTGCGTCTCCCTCACACACACACACACACACACATACACACACACGTGCACATTTCTTTAACTGTGCTAAATGGTAACCATTTACATCTGAAATGGTGTATGTGAGCTGTTCATTCATTCAGGAGATACTTTTTGTGCACCTGCTCTGTGCCGGGCACTGTGCCTAGTACACTGGTGTGGAGGGATAGTAAGACAGCACCCATGTACTCCAAGACCTCCCCCTCAGGAGCACCCACTATGTGCCAAGGACTGTGCTGAACACTTTCAAAACTGTTAGTGAATCAATAGGACAACCCACTGATTGGTGACTGTCAGCCTTGTTTAGCAAGTGTGGCATGTGGAATTTGAAGCTCAAAGAGGGGAAGTGCTTTGTCTAGGGTGGAGTTGTCAAGTGGCAAATCAGCCCTGGCCACCAGGGCTCCCCCTGCAGACAGGGGCTTTCTCCACACATCAGGGCACCTCCCTTTACTGTCCCTACAGTGCCCCGATGGGGCAGGCCTTTGCAGAGGGCAAGCCACAGGCCTTCTCTCCTTCCCTCAAACTGGACTCTGGTCTTCTGGAACTAATTCTGTGGGAAAATGGGCTCTGGAGAGCACCTGCTAGGGTCTGTGCTCCCTTGGGCCTCAGATATGCCAGGCTGTGGTGGGCTGAGCATAAAGATTTACCGCCTTCCCCTCTGTGGGAGACAACCAGGAGCAGAGACCCAGAGCCCTCATCAAACCCCTTGTTCTTCTATTGTCAATTGTCCAAATTCAGAACCTCACGGCATCTGGCCCCCACAATGGAAAACTGACTGGACTAAAACACAGCACTTGACCAGTAGGTAAGCAGCTTCTTAAGTGGAAGATGCTATCCTTGCGGATGCTCCTCTTCCTCCTCCTCCCTTCTCCGTCTTAATCCTCCGGGAATTCTCAGTTCTGTATACTTTAGAGTACTTTAGCACCCTAAAACCACCAACAATGCAAGTGCCCACTCACAACCATGGCAATCTGCCAAGAGCATTCCACGGAACACTAGAGCCAAGTGAGATGGTCCTTGCCAAAGGCCCACAGACAAGTATAAGTTTGGGAAATGTTTATGATATTCCTTCTTTGGATATTCCTAATACATATTAGCATACAAAGGCTCTGATCAGTCCTGTCATAAAGAGACTCATCTTGTTTTGTTTAATCCAGCATTTCCGAGTTTATTTGGCTACAGATCTCTTTCACCATAAAATCCTTTAACCTCCTATAAAACTAGTAACCTCTGATAAAACTAGTAAGGCATTAATTTATTGAATATAAGTTATTTACCCAACAGCTATTTCATCACTGAGTGCTGGCTGTGCAAATACACAGACACAGAGAAGACAGAGGCCCTTTGGTTGTTCTCAGAATCCCATAGTTAATGGCACCTACTCTTCCAACTGGCCTTATTGGGACAAAGAGGCTTTCACTGAGGTCCAGAGAGAAAGGAAAAGGAAAAGTTTCTTGTCACCTATTTTACATCTACAAAACACTGAACAGTTTCTGCAGCATATGCATATCTTTCCCTCATTTGATCCTGAAACAATTTTCTGGCTGTTCGTCTCACTCCAAGGAAAGGTGTGAATGAGCACATTTCTCGAGAGAAAACCCAAAGCTGCTTTACTCTTTGCATCAGCTTATAGATTATGTTTACATGGAGCTGTCAACTCAAAACTCCTGATCAAAAACAGAAAGTGAGATTTGTATGTAAGTGTCTGTCCACTCACCTAACAGTAACAAAAATGTTTTTGAAAGTAAAAAAGTATCCCCTGCGAGGTGGCAGTTTTAGGCAATTGAACTCAACAGTCTCCATTCTGAGGACATGGGTGTCCATGGAGCCTGGAAGGACAATCTTGGGGGTGGGACTAATCAAATGCTGAACTGTTATGGCCAGTCGCTGCATTCATGTATCCACTGTGAACAGCTGTCCCTATGAGGTTGATTCTCTCTCCTCGCCAATTAACCCAAGTCATGGACCAACAAAAGAGCATCACCAAGAGCCTTGGCTAGACGAAAAGGACCCACAACACCTGCCTGGTTGTCTGCAAGTGGCTGAATCCTCAGATTTCAGTTTTAAAACAACTTTTAAACATTGAGATATCTTAATGACCACCAAATCACTGGCTTCCCTTACTTTTCACTTGCAAAACTTTTTGGATCATCTAACAGACCCATTCTGAGAGGTCATGCAGTCTTATCTAGCAGGAACGAGGAAGCTGATCTGGCAAGATGGGGAAGCCGGAAACATAGATGTATGTCAGGTTTGCTCTTGGGTTTGGTGTCTTAAAATCTTCCCAAATGATCAGAGGCTCCTGTGGCCAGCAGAATTTGAACAGAGGTGAGGTTTGGCCCACGGATTTGGCAATGAGATAGCCAGCCCTTAGTAAAACTATATTTTTATGGTGAAATTATGAAGCAAATATAGGAATCAATCAGTAGTATAGACATTGTTTTCTTTATCTGTATTTGTTTCATAAGCTAGTATTTCTTAATAAAAATCTGGGGGTAAGTAATTGAATGTAATCAGCAAGAGTAGACTCCTTGTTAATTCAAGAGGAATGCTTGAAACGAACTCTTAAAGTTAAAAAAAAAAAGAAGAAATGCTTGGTCTAAAAAAATTTTTTTTTTTTAAAGAATTCTTTACACAGTTTAAATCACTCAACTAAAATGAGTGGAAAAGAATTTTTATTCTTCCTGGCAGTGCTATGTGAATATCCTAATTTTAATAATTCTATGTATTTCTTTTCAGTGTCTTCTAAACAAGTGATAAATAAGTTGTTAACATGCCTTTATTGTATCTGGTAAAGATCATGAGAATAATTACTGTAGGTAACACTGTTTGCCAGTCAACTCAGAAGAATCATCCATTGCAGGAACAGACATATGTTTCCCTGTACGTTTCCACTCTGCTCTGCTCAGGCTCGCCGTTGCTGGGGTAGACTATTACACTAATGGTCCCAATTTGTTCATACCTCCCTGTAACCAAGCTTTGGGAGTCCCCTCCCACACTGACTCTGGACTTGACCATGTGTCTCACTTCGGCCAAACATGACACAGCAGAGATGAGAAGCACTTGCACTTTGGGGCTTGTATTCTCCCCGCCCTTGGAACCCTGTAACAACCTTGTGAGAAAGCCAGGACTGGCCCATTGGAGATGAGAGAGCATATGCCAAGAGGCCACAGTTACCTGGCCAGCCCAGACAAGGCTGTCATCAACAAGCAGTCCAGCTCACCTACCACTTGACTGCAGGTGCATGAGCGAGCCCAGCTGAGATGAGCCAAGCCTAGATCAGACCAGAAGAACCACCCAGTTGAGCTCGGTCTAAAGTGCTGACCCATCAAAAATCATGAGCTAAATTAGTTGTAGTTGTTTTAGGCTGCGCTTTGGAGTGGTTTGTTACGGAGCAATAGATAACGAATCCACATGCCCTCAACCTTCTTTCCTACGCAAGCTGAAATCCAACCCTCTGTTTCTCTCTACTTCTTTCTGAGGCACCAGGAGCTCCTGGGAAAAAACACACAGCCTTGCTGCTTGACTCCAATACAAAAATGGTGTGTTTGATACAGACAACCCTTCCTTCCTCCTCAAACTACTCCTTCCTCTTGGCTTCTTGGATTCCACTCTTGCTTTGTGCTCCTCATGCCTTTCTTCCTGATGCTCTTCAGTCTCCTTTGCTGATTCTTTTTCATCATCTGGACCTCTAATCACTGCAATGTCCCAGGGTCAGTTCTTGGATCTGTTCTATATCTATATTCTCCTAGGTGAGCCCATCCAGTCTCAGCTTTAAATAACTGAACACTGACAACTCCTACATTTATATTTCTACCCAGGTCCTCTCCTCTGAACTCCAGACTCATATGGTTTGCTGAGTTCTCAGCGTCTCCATGTTCTCAGCATCTCCATTTGCATGTCTAATGGGCATCTCAACACGCCCACATCCAAACTCTTGACAGTCCCCTACAAACTCTTCTCCTCCAGACTTCCCAACACAATAAATGGTAAATTCACTCCTCTCTATTTCCATACCCCACAACAATCTATCGGCAAATCTTGTCAGCACTTCCTTCAAAATATCTCTAGAATCCATTGCTTCTCACACCACCGTGCCATGGTCCACACCACCATCTCTCATCTGGACTACTGCAATCGCCTCCTAACAGTCTCCCTGCTTCTACTCTGCTTCTCTACAGTCTATTTTCCATGCAGCAGCAAGAGTGAGCCTTTAAAACTGCAAGTCACACCATGTCACTGTTCTTCTCAAAACCCTCCAATGACTTCTGATCTTCATTCACAATAAAATTCCAAGTCCTGACTTTGGTCTATAAAGCCTGACATGGTCAACTTCAGGTGACTTCTCTGACTCATCTGCTACCACTTCCTCCCTAGCTCGTACCAACCTCTTTGGACTTCCTGCTCTTCTTTAAGCATGTCAAGAAGTTTCCTCCTCTGGACTTTGCACATACTGTTCCGTCTGCTTAGAACATTCTTCCCCCAGATAGCCCTGAGGCTTACACATCATTTCAATCTGGTCTTTCTCAAATGTCACTTTATCAGAGAGGCCTTCCTTGAGTTCCTGCTAAAGAGCATCACGTCCCCCTCTCCACCTCTCTATCCCCTTACCATGCTTTGGTTTTCTTCTTCATACTCATGGTCACCTGATCTACTATATATCTATGTCTCTATCTGTTTATTGTTTATCTCTCCCCACCAGACTGTAAGCACCATGAGCGTAGGAACTTTGTCTTGCTCACTGCAGTATCCCCAGTGTCTGGTAAACAGCAAACAATCAAGAAATATCTGTTAGGTGAAAGGAGGGAAAGATGGAAGGAGGCAGGCGGATGTAGCTTTTCCAGCTTCCATTGTGGTCTCAGGCAAGGAGAAGGGGCTTGGCAATGGGAGTTGGTTTGGCCAGCCAACAAGGCTTGTCATGGAGTTCATTACCTCTTTCTAAGGATATTGCAAAGTCCTTATAACGAGTCTCTTGGCCTCTAGCTAACCTCTCCCACCTATCATCCCCATTGCTACTGGAGTAGTCTTTCTAAATACAGACTGGACATCACCATCTTCCTGAAGTACTTTCAGTGGCTTCCCATTGCCTAGAGAATCAAGGTCAAACTCCTTAGCCTGGCAGTTAAGACCCTCCTCAATTTTAATCTACCTTCTGGTTTCATCCTTTCCTACATTCCAACCACTGTGAACTCTAATCTCCAGGGACACTCACCATTAAGTGAGCGTGACTATCCCCCGGCTCTTTCAGACTGGACGCCTTTATCTCTTCCCAACTATGACATCCCACTTACCCTTCAAGGCCCAGCTACAACACAACCTCCTCCTTGACGCTTTCCCTCGTCAGAATTCAGTTCTTCCTCCTCTCTCTGCCATAGCACTTCGCTTGGGCTCCCCTGTGGGGGCCCGCACGTCATGCTCTGTGTTCCAGCTATTTCTCTGTCTGTCTCTCCATCATGAGATCCTTGGAGTCAGGAATCATCGTAAACCTTTTTGTAATCCTCCCAAGGCTTGTCAAAGTGCTCTGTTCATAGTAAAAACTCAATAAATGACTTTTGAACAGAAATTATTAAGTATTGAAAAACTGCCAGATAAAATACAACTACACTGAACCAAGGGCACTGCTTTTAAGATAACTTGAAAAATTTAAGTGTGACATCAGTGCCAAATTTGTTATAATAAACGGAAGAGCTAAATTTCTCCTGTTTTGGTTGATCAGCAATATAAACTTTACAAAGGGCAGCTCATGGGAAGTAGCTATTACGATTCTTGTCATCTCCCTTAGTGTCCTTTTCAAATATTCAGAATGAGCATGAAGGGGAAGTTTTAAAGAGAACAGTGGAATTAACTCGAGGGCTTCAGCTGCTCGCACCATCAATTATTTCTCTTGCTGATACGGACAGGCGGCAGCTGGCCTGGCGCCTACCTCTTTCTGGTTTCGGTGGACTTGGCCGTCTTGATGGTGCTTTCGTCCTGGGCGACATCCCTTTCCTGAGAGGCCGGAGCATCTCTAACGGGCAGCGGGAGGACCACCGTTTCCTGGGTCACAGGGACGACCTCCTCGTCCGCCCCTTGCTGGCCCAGGTGCTGCTTGGCATAATCAAAGCCTTGCACAGGCTGCAAAGAGGAAACAGACTTGCAGTCACATTTTGTGCAAAGTGTGACTCTAACGACGGCTTTAAGAGAAGACAGGCAGGAGAGTGCATGAGACAGGACCATGCTTAGCTTTCTGATGAACAAGGGTGAACTCAAATCTCCATCATAATTTCTGTCTGCAAAATCAGACTCTGTGTTAATTCCACCTCACTACAGAACCTCTACTAATAAGACTTACTCAGAAAAATGAATAGTGCAAACAAGATGCAAATATGTGTTTGAGAACAAACTTCTTTCAAGGATTTTCTTTTCTTTTTTTTTCCCAAGGATTTTAGACCACTAATTTTAAGTCACTGGATACTGCTAATTAGAAACTCTTAATTGACATGTTAAACAGGTCCTGTATCATCTCCTGCCTGGGACTATTCTGTCATCCCTTAACTCCACGCTCACATGGCTTTATGTGTAATAAGAGGTGTGTGACTTTGCCAAATCACTTGAACTCTAACCTCAACTTTCTCACCTGAGAAATAAAGATAAGCATATCTGCTTTACCTCCACCACCCTTGATCCTAAAGGGGATCACAGATCAGAAAACAAAGGGGAAGAAACAGGCCACCACCCTGTGAGGCAGTACAATCATTAATAATAAAATGGAATTTCTGGAAGCACTCTTTAATCCAGACCTCGCCCTGAAGCAGGCTGGCTCTCCTATAACTCACTACTGGGAAATTAACAACGCTTTTACTGCACAACCTCTGAAATCCCCAGTGAAGAGGGCAGCTATAAGCAAAACCCGACCGACCTCCATCAGTGGGGCAGTAAAGAACCAGGAGGCACGTTTAAACAATTCCTGGGCATGTCTCTGTTCTGCTTTACACCCCAGAGCAGCATGATACAGAGCAGAGGCAGGACGATGGGGTGGTGCAGAGGAGCAGCTCCGAAAGAAAGCAGGCTGCCCAGGGTTCAAATCCTGCCTCTACCACTTATCAGTGAGGTGACCTTGGGTCAGTTACTGGAATTCTCTGCGCATCAGTCTCCTCATCTGTAAAAAGGAGATATAATAGTGTAAATAGGATCAAGTGTGCATATATGTGAGAGTGATGTTTAACCACCTCAAAGGGATGCTGTGGGGGTTAAGAAGTAAATTCTAGTCCAGCACTCAGCACAGTTCCTGGCACATGGCAAGTGCTCCGACAATATTAGTGAACAGTTTCCTTCCTACTCAGTCACAGCCCAGGCGAGACGAACATCAGTGACTCTCTTCAAGAAAATTTGGAGATGAAACTCAACCTCTACCATTCGAGTTCTGTCAGAACTTGATCTGATCCGAAGCTCCTCCTTCAGCAGCGCATTTAGCTAAGAAACGGGACAGGAAGGCTCCAGCCGGGTGTAGCAGTCCAGGACTGTGGCCTGACCCCTAAGTCTCCTGCCAAGGCTCAGGACAGGAGGAGTTTTGTTGCTGGAGCCAGTAGGGCTCCCTACTTCAAGGCGTCCGTAGCTATGCCGTGGATGGTTCCCCCAGGTCCTGGGAAAGTCCCTCTGGGAGCGTGCTGACCCCTCCCTCTTCTCTGACACACCCACCCTGACCCACACAGCAACACTGACATTCTATGCCAGCGGCTGGGAATGTGTTTCTGAAACGGTTTGTCTGTTCACTTCCTTCCCCTACCGTGGTGCTACACGAAGCGGAATGGAGCCTTCGGATGACTAGATAATGTTCCTAGAACACTGAATTATCTGCTCCTCCCACAACCAATTGGTCACCAATTGGATTCAACTGAGATGTTTCTAGAAGCTGACCTTTTCTCTCCAGGCCCACTGTTTTACTGATTCCCGCCTTGGTCTTGCTGCTTCCATTTGGTTCCTTTCCAGGCCCAGCCTCGACAAGCCTCCAAAGTCGTCTCCCTTAACACCATGTCAGGTCCTGTCACTCCCTCCCCAGAGTGTTTCCTGGCACCCACACCCTTTGGCAAGGCACTCGAGGCCCTTCACATTCCGGCTGAAGCCATGTGCCCAGCCTCACCTCCTGTGGCCCTGCTTCTGCTGTACCCCTGCGCCTCCATCATCTTATGCAGTTCTGTTCCAGCCAGAGTTACTGAGCACTGGCTTGTGCCAGGGACTGTGTGCGGCGCTGGAGATGCGCAGATGAATAATAACTGCCGCCTCCCGCGAGGAGCTCACAGTGTCAGCTTCATTTGATACTGCTGGTCCAGTCCCGACCACGTTAATAAATTATGACAGTTCATCCTCACTGCAGCTCAAGGAGGAAGGTATTGCTATGATTCCCCACTTTAAAGATGAAGAATGGAGGTCTGGAGAGCTGAAGCAACTTCCCCAGGCTCACACGGCTGGTCTGCACTCACACCCAGTCCTGTGTGACCCAGAGCCAGAACATCTAACCACCGCTTGAGGCTTCTTCCCACAGCCTCCCCTTCCCTGATGCAGCCGGCCGTCTTTGTTGGGCATCTCCTACCACAATTGGCCTGGCTCCTGGGCTGAGCCTCCTGGCCTGTCTGTGAGGAATTGGGAGTCTTCAGTGGCAGCCAAGACTTCTAAGAACCTAGTTAAGGGGACAAGCTGGCTCTGCCCGCCCCCTTGCTCCCCACTCTCTCTGGATTTGGCCCCTCACCCTTCACACTGGGCTGAGGTTATCTGCTGGATACTTCAGGGGACTGTGCTGATGATGGGTGAGCAGAAAGAGAGACATTAAGGAATGATAAACTTAAAAGGTGACCACTGTTAGTAGATTAGTAATAACAATCCCTGCATATGTTCAGTACTTACAGCCTGCAAAACAGGGACATTTCATTTCATCCTCACAACAACCCCATGAGGTAAGCAGGGCAAACATCACAGTCTTCACTTTACAGGTAAGAAAACAAAAGCTCAGAGAGGTGCAGTGACCTGCCCAAGGTCACACAGCTAAGTGGTGAAAGCCTCAAAACTAGTACCTTACTCTTCTGACTGACAGGGTAAGTGGTTTTTCAACTTTCAACTTGAAAACCACCTGAGATTCACTAATTGCCCATTGGACACACACTAGTGACCCCTGACACCATTAATACATCATGAAGCATGTACAGTTACTCTAAGGTGTTTTGTAAAATTATCAAATCAAAATAATCTCCAATAATTTCAAAAGTAGACATGTTACCCAAATCTTTTAAGAAGAAAGCATGTGTACTAATAAAGGCCAAGTTGTCTGTGGCTTATTATGCACCAGACATAGCTCACAGTAATTTACAGAACTCACTCAATCCTCACAGCAACCTGTGAGTGCATCCTCCTATTACCCCACTTCACAGATGGGAAATTGAGGCACAGAGAGGTCAAGTACAGGTCACACAGAGAGTAGGTGAGAAAGAGGAAGCAGGTGGGCATCTGCAGGGGGTGACTGACCTGTCCCGAGCTGCCTGCAGGCCCCGAGCTCCGTCCTGCATCTGGACATGGACCTAACTGCTTTCTCCAAAGGGCACCTGTTCCAGGAAGCCCCGTGCTCATCAATTATATGAAGGAACCAAGTGGGAAAAGGCTGTGACCCCAGTGACAGAGAGTACAGAGAAGTGACCTAGGGAGAAAGGAGGTGTCTAGACACGACGCCTGGCCCTCCTCCTGCACTGCTCATTTTCCCCGCAGTCTACCTGCAGAAGCCCAGCTGACCACAGTGCTAACAGGTGACATCTGGGGTACCTGTCTCTGAAGGAGGGTGTGGGCGCGCACCCGGCCTCGGCTCCCGGGACAGCCGCGCTCACCGCCTCTCAGCATGGTGAGCCTGTCACTGGGGCCCAGCGGGCATCCCCAGGAACGTCCTCGGGCACTGCAGCCTGCGTTCTGGAGACACAGTGACGTCCCTGGAGACTAGGGGCCATCCTCCGGGTCCACCCTCCAAGGCCCGCTGTCTCTCCTTCCTTTGGATTGGTGGCGAGGGCTAACTTTCTCATTCCACTTCACCCTTGGCATTAAATGAATTCTGCTTTCACATGCGGGTTGTGAGAAGGGATGCAGGCCGCGCTCTCCTCTCGCAGACACTGCAGTCCCCTGGTTGCAACGCAGAAGGACTGCGGTGAGAAAGAGGCAGTTCCACCCTGCCGGTTTCCCGTGATAACTGGGCTTTGGAAATCAAAGCGTGTAGCCCAGCCTCAGGGAGGGAGAAAACCACCAGCACCACCACACACAGGGGAGTTCAATCGTCTCGTGGAACGTAAATTTGCTGGATTTTCAACATCAGCCAGGTATCTCTCCAAGCACAATGCCCCGGGTAGGGACATAAAAGGGGCTTAGGAAAACCCACAAACATTAATCTGTTCCAGCCAGACAGCTTTCAAGCCAGAAGGTATGCTGAAACCACATGCTGCCCAGCGCGTCCTGACAAATTCATAAAATTTTGGCTTAACCTATAACACAAAGATGGCATTTACAACCTCAGTATGGCATGTTTTGCATTCCTGGACTCGGCTGCAAGTAGATTCTGGTAAATACTGTTCTGTCGGAAAGGCTCAGGCTGTCACTAAGCTAAGAGGGAAATGAAATACCACTTCTTGGAGCAGTTTCATTTTTCACTGCCTGGGTAATTACCAGCATCGGGCTACGTCTGGGATGCGGGTGCCTTTGTGTCAGCAGACACAGAACAACATTCCTCAGCGCCGGGCTCTTCAGGACAAAGAGTGTCTAATCAAGCTGCAGCTTCACAACAGGTGAATCAGTTTAATAAACAATGAATTCATTTGATTTCTTTCACTGAAGCAAGGGGTGCTCATGCAGGAAGAACTAGGCAGGCGGGACCCCCAGCAAGGACAATCGCCATGACCTACATTCCAACGGACATGAAATTCCCTTCGCCGTTTCATTCCTGTGCAGGTGGACAAAGTTCAGAAGTTCAGAGCTGGAAGAGGATTCCACCTGCCAGACATCACGCGTCTGGAGGGTGTAGGAAGCAGAAAGAGCCCAAAGACTCAGATATGACCTGGGTCGCCCCTCTGCAGCTAGGTCGCCTTGTGCAAAGGTCGCCCCCTTTTGCACAAGGCCCGCTGTCTCTCCTTCCTTTGGGTTTCTGAGCAGTAAAATGAAAATAATAAAACCTGCCCTGACTAGGACCTACCTCATAGGGCTGCTGCGACGAGCAAATGAGGTGACAGACTGAGAAGAGCCTGGCAAACTGTGAGGCCTTATTTCAACACCAGTACTGCAGGTTATTATGTTTCCCTCGGGGAAGCATGAAGGGAGCTGCGTGACCGGAAACAGCCTCTGGAACGTCCTCAGTCCATTCCCCTCCCAGGCACCAGAGGTGGCTGGCGCAGACGTGTGGTGGCTGTGGAGAGAGGACGGGGCTCCCAGCCAGGCTTCAGTGCAGCCACTGAGCTGGAGTTCGACGGCCGCCCGGCCAGGGCCCTGCAGCTTGCCCATCCTGGCAGCCTCTGAAGATAAGCCACTCCAGCCAGGGGAAGAAGGACACTTTTGAGGGTCTAATGTGCCCCAAAGAGCCCTGTGATGGGACCCAAGAGACGTGGTTCTAGCACCAGTTCTGCTCCTTACTAACTGTGATCTTGTAGGAGTCACTTCTCTGTAAAAGGAGGTGTCAGATTAGACGACCTCGAAGGCCCCTTTTGGGTCTATCTAGCTCCTATAGTTTTCTGTGCCTAAGTTTCCCCATCTGTAAAATCACGCCCTTCCTCAAAGGGCTGCCGTGAGGATTAAGTGGGGTCTCTCTGTAAAGCACTTATGGCAGAGCGAGCACGAGGGCGGCACCAGCTATCACGTCCTGATTATAAACAGAGAGGATGCCCAAGAGTGTGGATATACTTAACAACACTGAACTGTACACTTAAAAATGGTCAAGATGGTAAATTTTACATGATGTATATTTTACCATAATTTTTTAAAAATCCAATAAAATAAAGGGTCTCCTTCAAAATGTGGGCTGGTGAGGTTGTTTCTGACAGTAGCTGCAAGGGCCCCAAAAGCCGAGAGAAAGGCAGGCAGAGCCCGCAGGCCCAGCTCCTGCTCCTCCTCCCACCGCTTCCACGAACCTTTGCTCTCTGAGGCAGGTTCATCACGGTGTCTGGCTTGAAGTCGTTCTTGTTCTTCCGGCAGAGCACGGCGGTGATGATGATGATGATGACTGTGACCACTGCGATGGGCGCCAGCACTGCGGCAATGATCCACAGGTTGTTGGGTGGATTCTTCACCACGGCTGTGGGAAAGAGCCGGAAGGAAGCATGTGAAAGGAGCACTGTGAAGGGAAAGCAACCGGGACATAAACCCCCTGTCCCAAGTCATGAGGCGGTTAAGAGGGTTTGGGATCCGAAAGGCTCTTGCCTTGGGCAAGTTACTCAAGGTCTCTGAGTCTCCGTTTCCTCATCTGTAAAATGGGGCTATCACTCTGCGAGGCTTCAGAGAAACAAGGTCCACGTGGGGCTTTGGTGTGGCCCCAGTAGGTGCTCACTAAATGCTGGCCTTCACTATCGTTAAGAGGAGGAGGAGGAGGATGGGCTGCATCAATCTTCCTCACTGGTGAAGTCGGTGAGTCAAAAGAGAAGAGAGAAGGAACCTGAGGATGAGGGTGGTGCTGGGGTCAGAGAACGGGCTCGGAACACGGTAGTGAAGTTGCCCTCCAAGTGAGCAATGACAAACACGGAACCGAGCAGACGGATCCCCCACCTCCCACCACACGGCCAAGTGGGGGAGTTTGAAAATGCCTCGATCTTATCCCAAGGGTCAGCCTGTCCCCAGAGCCAGAGTCAAGGGGAACCTGGCCACCGTCAGTAGGAAGAACATGTCATGAGAACAGTGGTGACTCCAAGGCTGGGGCTGGAATTATCCTGCAAACGGCAACAGGGTGATGCTTGTGCTCTACATCAGGACAGGGATCGGGGTCACACAGGCGCATACATTTGTCAAAACTCATCAAATGGGATATGTGAGATCTGCACATTTCACTGTACGTAAATTTTACCTCAACATCATAAACAAATATTGAACTCTAGGCAATGATATGCATGCTAATAAATGTTACTGAACTTTGCAACTTGCTTTGAAATGCATCAAAAAATAAGATGGATTAATGGATGGATGGAGGGATAGAGAGATGATCAGATATGTGATAATGAAAATATAGTAAAATGCTAATTGTGGAATCTAAGTGGTGGGAACATGGGTGTTCACTGTACAATTCTTTCAACTTTTTGGTAAGTTGGGTTAGGAAAATGTAAGAAAAAAAATGCCCTCGACATGAGATGAATGAGTCTCTCCCATGATCACTGGTGAGGAAGCTTGGAAAACATTTCAGTCCAATCAAAAGGACCAGTGTGTTCTTAGAACTGGAGTAAAGAAAACAGTAACCAAAGTAATTGTAGCAAGAAAGAGTTATTGGGAGGGAGTAGGGTCTGCAGGAAATGTAGAAAAAGAGAACCAAAGGGTAGACAAGGCCTGGCCCATGCCAGGGGATTGGCCCCGACTGGTAGACGTGGGTAACCTGGACGGATGGCAGGCCTATCCTGGTGGGCTAGATGGCTGCAACCGGCTGTTCTGGGTTGGCGGTACTATCTGTTAATGCCACCCAGGTTCTTTTCTCTCCCACTCCCTAGATGGCCTCACAGACCATCAAGCTTTAGACAGCAACTGTGCGGATGATGTTCACTTGTGTACCTTCAACAGGCCCTCCACCCTGAACTCCACATCCCTTTACCCATCTGCCGACTCACGCCTCCAACTGGACAGTGAGAAGACACTCAATCTAGTCTGTCCAGAACCCGACTCTGCATTTCCCCCAAAACCTTTTCTTCCTGTGATAGTCTCCACTCCAATAAAAGGTGACTCCTTCCCTCCAGTTGCTCAGGCCTGTAACTCTGCCATCAGTGCTGACCCTTCTCTTGTACTCTCACCCAACATCCTACTCATTAACAAGCCCTGTCATCTCCATCACTTCTTTCCATCACAGCTGCTCCCACTGTGGTCCAAGCTGCCATCATCTCTCACCTGAATTCCTGCAATAGCCTCCTACTTTGCACCTGTCCCCTATAGTCTGTTTGTGAAACGCCAGCTGTACTGATCCTTTAAAAACTCAGATCACAACACTCCTCTGCTCGAAATCCTCTGGATTTCGAGGCTCCCAACTCACTCAGAGTAAGAGCCAGAGTCCCTATAATTTCTATGAGACCCTAAGTGACCTGCCCCTCCACCACTCCAGTCACTTCTCTGGCCCTATAGCCCACGATTCCTTCCTTAACTCACTCGGCTCCAGCCTACTGGCCTCCTACTGTTCTTTAAACACGCTGGACATGCTCCTGCCTCAGGGCCTTTGCTTGGGCTGATTCCTCCACCTAGAACACTCTTCACCTAGATATCCACACGGCTCCCTCCCTTACTTCCTGCAGGGCTCTGCACAAGTGTCACCATATCTGTGAGGCCTTCCCTGGACTCTATATAAAATAACAATCCCTGCCCTGGCATTCTCCATCCCGCTCATCCTACTTAATTTTCTTCTTCCTAAAGCAGTGCTTCTCAAACTTGAACGTGGACACCAATCATCCGGGAATCTTGTTCAAATGTGGGCTCTGATTCTGTGGGTTGGGCTGGGGCCTGAGATTCTGCCTCTCTAACCAGCTCCCAGGCGGTGCCCATGCAGCAGGCCCCCGGGCCACGTTGGAGTGGCAAGGCTCTAAAGCACATATCACCATCCGACATGACGCAAGTGTGCTTGCTCATTGTCTGTCACTCCCCACCCTCCATTAGAAGGGACACTCTAGGAGGGCAGGGACTTTCTGTCTCTTGTTCACTGCTGCATCCACAGGCCTAGAACTGGGCCTTGCACATAGTAGGTGCTCAATTAAAAGTTGAATGAAATACAGTCACACGTCGCTTAACAACGGGGACACGTTCTGAGAAATGCATTTCTAGGCGACTTCTTTGTGCAAACATCATCGAGTGTGCTTACACAAACCAAGACGGTCTAGCCTACTACACACCTAGCCCTATGGGACTAATCTAATGGGACCACCGTTGTCTAAGCGCTCTGTTGTCGACCGAGATGTTGTTACGCAGCACACAACTGTATAAATGATCCACTGTTATCCCTGCTGCAATCTGGCTCCTCACACAGATTTCCCTATGGGATAGAGTGACGGCAGGTAAAAGGAGAAGTCCCATCTCCTTGGTAGCTCTAGTCCATATTTTAAATTAACATACTGCCAATCTGGTTTCTATATCAATCTCTTGTAAGTCTGTTTAGGCTAACTTAGTCCTCTTGATCCTGCTGATCTCTGGGGGCTACGGGGCCCACAAAGCTGAGGAACAGACTCTCGAATACGAAGACCCCACCAGTAAGTGCCACCTGGTGAGGACCTGTCTGAGGAGCCGGCTGGTCTCTCTGACTTCAACCACCCCTGACCTCTCGGGTCCTTCCCATCAGGCAGCACTTCCTCTGGAGTACTATTAGTTCAAAATAACTTCTTTTCCACAGTTTTTATCAATCGGTGGTTAATCACATTATTAACTTCTGAAAACAGCTCATGAGGTAACGTGTTTCTGTTGACATTAAACATTTAATTACTACTGTTTTTAGTAATTTGGTATTTATATGTGAGTTTTATGCCATTAACATTTTTAAAGCTTAGAGCTTCTGTGAAAAATATCAATATGCCTCTTTTTGGCTATGCTATTCTATCTCGATGGAGCAAAATGTATAGTGTATTGGAACATGATACCCCAAATATAGGTTTATATTTTTTGAAATATTTATGTGTGTTCTGCTTTTCCTCAGCTTTATTGTTGTGGTGACTGGATTCCTCCGTGGTGCAGTATGTAAAATCCCTTCTCCTCTGTGTAAATGGGGAGAGAATAGATTTATCTTATGCACATAAATAAATTCATTTAACGGTCAAAGAGACAGTCAAGTTAGGTCAGCTGAAGTCATCCAAACCCACCATATTCACTGGCATAATGATCTGAAACTACAGTCACACACGGAGGCGAGAGGAATGAATGGTTAATTTGTGAGAATTTCAGTGGAGAAGGACAGGAAAAGGTGGCAGCATGTTCTGAGCGTCCACTGTGCATTAAGCCTGGGGTAGCCCTTTGCCCAGATGCCGTTCTTACCCCCAATTTGCAGATGAGCAAACTGAGACCCAGGAGAAGTGAGATGTTTCTGTGAGAAGTCATTTTTCTGAAGTACAAGTTTAAGTCAGTCCCTAGTTAACAAACAATGAGTGGAAGTGTGTGTGCACACTCACATGCGTGCACATACACAGACATACACACACACAAGTATTTGTCAGAAAGAATGAAGTCAAAGGGTCCAGAGAGTCTAAACTCAAAACAAAGTATTCTCTTGTAGAGCAAATGTTGAAAGGAGAAGGAATCAATTCAAAAAACATTTCCAGCTCATTTTCGTGGCTGTCAAAAGATCCGAGTTCGTACTGGGGTGAGTGGAGGCGGGGAGGGTCTAGCCAGGGGCCCAGCAGCTGGTCAGTGCTCAGTCCACATCGCTCTCCTGCCCAAACCCTCTCAGGGCTCCCAGCCCACGCGGGAGCGGCCCGTGGGGCTCCAGTGATGGTGGGCCCTGAGCTGCACCTCTGACCTCATCGCCACCACTCTCCCCCATCAGCGACCCCCTCGCTGTGTCTCAAACCATCCCCCTCTGCCTGGAACATTGTCCCCAGGTGTCCTCAGGTGTCCTCAGGTGCTTAAAGGCTACTTCCTCAGGGATCTTCTTCTTGACCTCCCAACAACTGAAAATTGCAGGCATTATGTCCTTAATATCCCCCAGTCCTCCTCTGCCTAATGCTTCTCCCCAGCACTCAGGAGCATCTAGCACACTGCTTAGTTATCTTGTTGACTAGCTCTGCCCCTCAGAGATGGAAGCTGCAGGAGGCGGGGGTCTGTGTGCCTTGCTCTCTGCTGTAGCTGCCACACCTCCAGTGCTTATAACAGTGCCAGGCACCTGGGAAATGTCTGCTGAAAGAATGAATGAGCGTGAGTTCCCCTCATCAAGGGTGAGTCTATCTCTTCCTTTAGTGGCATTTTTTGAGATAAATGTCTGAAGGCCGTGTAAAGTAAACCAATTCCTGCTCTGGTTTGCTTCCGTGTGGGGAGAGTTTTTCCTGCGCCATCAGCCAGATGACCCCCTGAAGGGCCTGTTACCCCAGACCCTGCACATGGAGCAGGTGAAAACTCCCCCAGAAACGCAGCTGCTTCTTTAGAAGTCATTGCTGGCCCATCACCCGGAGGTGATGTGAGTCAAGTGGGCACTGCACACTGGGCACTGCACACAGGGCACTGCACACAGGGCACTGCACACTGGGCACTGCACACTGGCCCTAGAACTAGCCATTCAGAAGACACTGGAATGTACAGAATGCTAACACTCTCCCTTCAGAAGGACAAGGTGCTCGTTCAGTGCTGTGACTCTCCATTCACAGTGCTGACCCCACATGCACATTGCAGGCTGATTTCAAAACTATTAGGAGAAAATGGGATTTAAAACATCTCTGTTCCGGGGCTGGCCCAGTGGCGCAGTGGTTAAGTTCACACACTCCACTGTGGCGGCCCGGGGTTCGCAGTTTCGGATCCCGGGCGTGCACCAACACACTGCTCGTCAAGCCATGCTGTGGTGGCGTCCCATATAAAGTAGAGGAAGATGAGCATGGATGTTAGCCCGGGGCCAATATTCCTCAGCAAAAAGAGGAGGATTGGCATCGGATGTTAGCTCAGGGCTAATCTTCCTCTGTTCCTCCTCGTCTTCACTGGCCTCGGCATCCTCCTCATCTGACCCCGGGAGGGAGGCATTTCTAGTCTCCCTGTCCTCTGGCTGTACTCCCTCCCCAGGCACTCCAAGTTTCTCAAACCTGTATCTAAAGCGTTCTCACAACTTATAGCACTAACTTCAACCTCTCTCCTGAGATCCAGGCTTGAATTCCCAACAACCTTCCTAACCTCAGCCCTTGATACCCCACCCACACGCCCTTGATACCCAACAACACCCTTAATTCATCACCACCTTAAACTCAGTATGGCCCAAACTGAATAAATTCCCTTCTCCCTTCTAAAAATGCTGCTCCTCTCACCCCCATTTCTATTTTCATTAACAGCACCCTATTCTCTGAATTATATGGGTTCTTAACCTTCAAGCCACCTTTCCTTCTTCATTCCCTCTCTCCGTCAGTCCTGCCTCATGGATAAACGAGACATTCAGCTACGGCTTACTAAGTGCTTCCTGGGTGCCCTGGGCTATGCCAAGCCCTTGACACACAATAATGATCTCTTTCAATCCTCCAAGTAGCTCTACTAGGTCAGAGTTTTTACCTGACCGTTACCATTTTACAGATGAGGAAAACGAAGGTCAGAGAGGTCATTAATTTGTCTCCAAGCTCCATAGCTAGAGAGTGGAAGAGGAGGCATGTGAACCCAGGTCTGTCTTGTTTCAAAGGCTCTGCTCTCAACTGCTCTGCTGTGGTGTCTTCTAACTGTGTGCCTCACTCAGGGCCTGGCAGAGGTCAGTCTTTTCCCTTCACAAGAGCGGAGCCAGGCAGTGGCCAGAGCTGGACAGTCAAAGAGGAATGAGATGTGGTACCTGCTTTTAAAGAGCTCATGAGGGAGACAGAGAGAAAACCACTGTGATGGGGGCAATGGAAGCCCCTGGAACTAAGGCACTCACACCCTGTGCTCTGCTTTCCTTCCCAGTGCTAAAGGATGAGCTGTCCCTGCCCCTCACTGAGTCTGACCCCCGACTTATGCAAATCCCTCATCCACTCCAGGACATCACCCCTACAGTCCGCCTCTCTCCTCTGCATGGTTGGCGCCTCCCTCTCTATTACAGTAACCTATCGATATTCAAACACACCCTCTGTCTCCCATGTGCCCCCCCAGCAACTGCACCATTCATCTTCTCCCCTTTGCTGTCACCACTTCCCCACCCCACCCTCTCCTCAGTCCACTCCAGCCAAGCTGTCTCTACCACCTCTTCCCAGAAACTACTCCCGCCAAGGTCACCAACAACCTCCATTTTACCAAACCCAGTCACTTCTCTGTCCTTACAGTACTTTGCCTCTCAAGACTGGAAGTCGACACAGTAGCTCCCTCCATTCCAGGACATTCACTTTCTTTGCTTATTTCCAGACCCACCTCTCCTGTGTTTCTCCCATCTCCCGGGCTGCTCCTCAGTACCCTTTGCTGGTTGTAGTTCTTCCCTCAAGTGGGTTCCCCAGCCATACGCATGGCTAATCTGGTTAATCTCACTCACTGTCTTGGCTCTAAGTGTCACCTATGTTGATGACTCCTGAGTTTGTATCTCCTGAGTGCTATGTGAATGTCTAAGAGACATCTCAAATCTAACACATCTAAAGCCAAACTCTCCGTCCCATCTCCCCATTCTCACCCTAGCCCTGCTAAACCTCTTTCTCTCTCTCTCTCTCTCTCTCTCTCTCTCACCTTCTGCACCTCAACAGAAGACACCACAACCAGCCCTCAAGCAAACAGCTAGGAGTCGCCCTTGATTCCTCTGGCCACACACCTCTTCCTGCCACACACAGAATCCATTATCTTGCCCCATCAGCTCTGTCTCCAAAAACATCCCGAATCCATCCACTTCTCTGAGTCTCCCCCTCTAACAACTTCACCTCTTGCTGGGCACCTGCAAAGGTTTCCTCCACTCCTGTCTTCTACAGTTTATTCTCTACCTGGAGAAAGGGAGAGAGAGCTGAGAATGGAACCCTGGGGAACCCACAGAAAGACAATGCAGCAACAGCGATGAAGCAAGTAGCTGATCTGACCAGAGATGGGGCCAGAGCCCACAGGGAGGGAAGGAGAGAGGTGCAAAGGAAGAGAATCTGGGTTAAAAATGGCATTTCAAAGATGAGATTGCAGGGGGCGACCATCATTTCTAGGGAAAGGTGTGCCTGTGAGATGTGCTGGCCGAGTGGAAGTGAAGGCCATAACAACACATGGGTGGACCATCATCACGGAAGCCACACTCCCCTGGATGAAGGCAGGAGATGACGAGGAGAGGAAAACCATGAGCCAGGTGTCAGGGTCTTCAGGAGTGTGGACACCAACTAGGAAATCAATGGGAGATGACCGTCCATGCCCGTACGCTCAGCATGTTACCAAATGTAAAATTTCTACCCCCCAATCTCTCACCTTTATCACCTCCCCTCTCCCCTCGCTTTCCTTACAGCCTTGTCTGGGTCCCTAACGCCTGGACCACCACAGAGCCTCCCCACCAGTCCTGCCTCCTCTCACCCCAGACACTGCTGACAGATTCACCCCTAAAGAACGGGTAGTTGCTATGACACTACTCCCCTGCTCAGAAATCTTCAATAGCTCCCCCAGCCATCGCGTCATGCGCAGTTTCTGTCCCCTGCCATCGCAGACCTGTGTCTCCCATGCAGCTCCCCTTTCTAAGCCCATCAACTCTCCCTCATGTTTCAATCTGAACTCCTTGTTTTTCAAGCACACCTGGTACTTCTCTCCTCCATTCTTTTTCTCACGCTGCTCCTTCTCTCTGGAGTATATACCTTCCTCTCCCTCTGCTGAAATCTTAGCGTGTAATACAGTTCAGAACACGCATTTGAAGTCAGACAGATCCAGATTCAGATCTTGGCAAACTAGGTACTAGTTCTGTGATTCTGAGCAAATTAGTTAACTTTTACGAGCCTCAGTTTCCTCATCTGCAATTTGGAGCTGCAGGAGGTACGTTGCCCCAGTGAGAAGAGAAAGTGAGGAAATGTATGTAAAGCAACAAGCAGAGTAGCTGCCTCAGGAGAGGGTATTGAAACAGGCAGCTATTATTTTCAATATCCTTTCTCTGTCCATTCTTTCAGATGCCCCTGCAGAGCAAGCTCTCCCTCCGTCCACTGGTACCACGTCGCTCCTCGCAGCACTTGCCTGCGGTCCACTCCTTCATATCTGCGTTAGCTCCCTCTCTGCTCCTCAAGAGCAGGGCCCAGGTCTTGCCCACCCTGCATGTCCCCCAGCACCAAGCACAGTTCAGGTAGGACCCTACAGATGCTTACTGAATCAACTTATCTTTAATTCCCCAGCAGACAAATATAATCTCAGCTATGGTGCTTTTCCTAGCTGTTCGCTAGACTATATTGAGGAGGAAGAGTGGGTAGGATTTGGGGCAAAGCAATGTCATTATCATCATCCTAATATCCAAAACATATCCCTTACCTAAACCCTATTGCTTCAAACAACAGAGGAACAGCTGACTGATTTAAGAACCTTCTAGAACATAAATATGTTTAGCTCTGAGTCCATTAACATGAGTGTAGGGAATCACTTTGATTTGCAGGAAACATTTAATGGCAGTCAAAATACTGAACGGAAAGACTATCCCCTTACGGTCAGCTTGCAGAAGGACAACATGATGCAGGGTCAAGGCCATCCTTTGGGAGTCAATGGTGCTCAGGATCTTGGCAGCTGCGGTCCCCAGCAAAGGCTTCCCGTTGTACAGGGTGTAGTAAGTCAGCTCCGCTGGGTCCTTGGGTCCCGGCACCCGCTGCATCTTTACCATCTTTCAGAAAAGAGAGGCCATGTTTACAGGGCATCTTGCATCAACCTGCAATCACCCAGGCATCAGCAGCCTCCCTCCTGACGCTGAAGCTTTCAGTGGCTAAATGGATCCACAACGTATTTAGACACCAACCTTCGTGTACCTTCCTAACAACAACATCTCAAGAAGCCCTGCTATCACCAGAGGGGGAGGCAGGGAGCAGAAAAAGGTTTTGAAAATACGAACATGCGGGAAAAAAACAGTTTGAGGCTGGAGAAGAGAACGCTAAAATGCTGGTGTCTTCCAGCCTCCAGAGAGCTCTGGCCTCATTTGAAAATAGGCCTCCACATTAATTCAGGGCATGTTGGGTTATTCTCAAACAAGATTTCTAATTTCAATTCCTGCAATTGCCAGAGAGGAAAAAAAATGAACTTATATGTCTGCAACTCAAAAGATCTCTGACGCAGTACTTGGAGACTCAAAGTTCTTTTTCTAAAATAACCTTTGTTGCTTTTTCTCACTGTACAAGTTATACATATTCACTACAGAAAATTTGAAAATACAGAAAAACATCAAGAAATGAAGTAAAATAAAAACAATCTCTAATCCCTCTACCACAAATTACCATCATCATTTCGGAGTATTTACTTCTAGTCTTCGTTTTTCCACACAAACCTTTTATTATTTTACAAAATAATTTTCAAGAACTGTATATAGTATCAGATCTTGCCATTTTTACTTGCATGCAGAAATGGCCTTAAATATAACAAAACCATAAATGTTAATTCCTACACGGCATTTCAATGCACACCTCATAAACTTATTTAGCAAATCCTTTACTGTTAAACACTTAATTGTTACTCAATTTTCAGCATTGTAACTAACAATTAATAATCATTATAAATAAAACATAAACTTTAATACCTACATAATGTTCTACTGTACACATGACTCAAAAACTTAATTAATCCTTCACTTTTGAACATTTAGGTTATCTTTTTACAACTATAATTAACAACTAATAAACATCATAGTGTAGTATAGTATAATATAGTATTTTCCAAATTATATATTATAGATTATGAGTGTCATATGATATTAAAGATATTACAAAAATGTTTATAGCAGCATTGTTCATAATAGCAAAAAACCAAAAAATTCAAAAGTCACGAAGTAGAATGGATAAATGAGTTACGGTATAGTCACACAATGAAATATTATAGAGTAGGATAAATGAACTGTGGTTGTCTGTATCAATACGGGTGAATATAAAAGCCTGATGTTGAGCAAAAGAAACAAATCACAGAATATAAAATTCAAAACCAGGCAAAACCAAATGATGTAATGTTTAGGGATACACACATGGATGGTAAAATCTGTGCAGAAAATACAGGTCTGATGTAACACCAAATCCAGAAGCACACTCAACTCTGATAGAAAAGAATGGGAGCATGTATACCCAGAAAAGACACATAAAAGGCTTCTGGCGTAAAGGAAAGAGTCATGTTCTTACCCTTTGGGTTGTGTGTTCTTTTTATCAGCATTCTTTAAAATCTACATATTTTTACACTCCTTTGTTTGTATGCTATATATAACAATAATAGATATTACTACAACCCAATAAAAAATGGGTTTTTAAAAAAATCTGACCAGACGTTTCACAAAGGAAGATATCTGAATTGCCAATAAGCATGGGGAAGTTCAAAGTAAAACCACAAGACACCACTATCACCCAGCAGAATGACTAAAACAAGAAGGGCTGACATCGAGTGCTGATGAGGATACGGAGTAACTAGAACTCCACATCTGGTTGGTGGGAGTGTAAAATGGTATGCTTTGGAAAAAGGTCTGGCAGTTTCTTACAGAACTAACATATACCAACCCTATGAACCAGAAATTCCACTCCTGCGTAACCAAGAGAAATGAAAGCATATGACCATAAAAAGGCTTGTAGAAGAATGTTCATAGCAGCTTTGTTTATAATAGCTAAAAACAGGAAAAAGCCCAGGTGTCCATCAACTGAAGAATGGATAAACAAACTGTAGTATATTCATACAAGGGAATAGTATTCAGCAATAAAAAGGAATAAACTACTGAATAACACAAAATGAATGGATCTCAAAAACACTACACTGAGTCAAAAAACATTTATATGAAATCTATAGAATAAAGGATTCCATTTATATGAAGTTCTAGAACAGTCCAAACTGATTTATGGTATGGAAATGATATATGTTATCAAATAAAAAACAGCATCATAGTACACTGTTAATTGTAGAATCTAGATAGTATATGGGTGTTAGCTGTATCATTTTATCAACTTTTCTGTGAGTTTGAAAATATTCATAATAAAATGTTGGGGATATTACTAAAAACAAGGGTCTTGTTGATATTTAAATTTGGAAACCAATAGGTTGAACAAAATTAAGGAGATTTCTTTACTGCGAGTCTTTTTAGAGTCTTTGGTATGCCAACGTGCCTCGGGAATCTTTAAGCAGGGGCCACAGGATGCAGCCTTGCCCTGAGTGACTTGGCCAGAGAGCAGCTTTACCTCAGAGAACCTTATAGGACCACTTTCTGGACACTCTCTGAGAAACACTGCTCTCACTCTTTCGTCCTGGTGTTCATCTCTCTTCTCAAAATGAGTTTCTAGGAGTAAGTTTGTGACCATCTAAAAGGTTCTTATCTCAATTGCTCTCTTGCCCTCCAGAAAGGTCAGACTCATCTGCTGTATCTGAAAGTGCCCGTGTCGCCACGTCCTCATCAACACTGGATAGTACCACTTGACCAATCTTTGGTAGGTGAAAACGGCATCTTTTGGTGGTTAAAACTTGCATTACTTGGAGGACAAATGGATTTAAACATTTAAAAATGTTTATTGGTCATATATATTTCTTCTTTGGACTCAGTTTGTCAGATATATCCACTAGAGAAATATCTGTAAATTCTAGACATCTAAATCTCCACATTCATGAAACAGCTCATCTTTTAAAATTATCTGATCCCGAAGAAAGGCCTCTGGGTGGAAGGATGATGTAAGCTGTGTAGAGTGAATTTTACTTGGAAAACTTGGGCATGTTCTTCCTTGCCCCTCGTGGGAGAGGAGGTGGGGAGAGGGAACAACCAGGCAGGAGGTGAATGAATTCAAACATCTAATAACTTCACTCAACTTCAATTTAATAACAAATTCTTCTTACCCAGATTTCCCCAAGGTAATGTTAGAAGGTGATCTACAGCCTCCGTAAATTAAGAGATTTGCAGAAATAAACCCCACTTGGTTCACTCAGACTTTCCTGGCAACTCTGGGGGCCAAGCACACTGATTCCTCAGAAGAAACGAGAGAAAGAACACCTCACTGGGCCCTTTTCAACACGCCAATTTCCTAGGTTTATGAATAACACCAGGATTGTAGGGTGGGTCTTCCTCCCGCTTCAGCTGAGGCAAATCCTGTTCCACCGGCCCCAGTCCCAGCGACTTCCTTTCTGTTATCTGGAAAAGCATGAATTATAGGGCTCACACAGACCACACAGAGCGGAAGTCACAAACCTGGCACGTGAAATTAACCATCGCTTTTCCTCGTGATGAGGCTATCATAGACCACAGAGACTTTTAGAACCAAAACAACATCGAACAGGACAAGGGGCCAAATTCACCAACTGTGAACGGGAGGCCTAGAGTCTCCCTCCGGGCGTGATGCTGATTTGTGCAGGGAAGTGTGTTCCAGAAGAGAGTTGTCTATAGTTTCAAGATTGCCTGGAGACATGATCTGCAGATAGACTGTGGTAATGTCTGTAATTCCCTTTAAAACGCTTCCTTGTTGGCAGTGTGATACTATGCATGTGTGTTTGGGTAAAGTTACACCCTAGATGTGGTCAATTACCAATCAGGAGTTCACACCCCAAGGACAGTTGGCTGGATTCCAATTAGGAAGCCCACACTCGAGAGGCAGCTACCAGGACTGTGCCTGTAATTTCATATCTTGCTCAACAGAGCTTTGTTAATTAGCGTAACTAATGTTAGAAATGGGTTCTCACTGGTGAAATTAGTGGTATTCAAGATATTTGGATTGCCTAGAACATGTTAGAGACTCCCACTCTTGCTTGAACTGGATAAAGAATCTCGAGAGGCTGAGAGCCCCTACCTTGGGGATGGCCACTGTCTAGAAGCAGACCCTGAGAAGAGCTGAGTGCTTGTAATTTATTTGTGAGGTAAAGGCACTGACAGGAGGGCGAGGAGGTGACACAGAGGTGGGAAGGAAGCTAACGCAGGATACACAGTTCACACAGTGGGTATCTGAAGCTTAATCCTGTGGGAAAGCTCTGGAAACGATCTAAAACATACATTTCAGAACTCTCCTAGCCAAGGGGCAAGGGAGCTGGGGTATTTACACCCCCACCACAGGTTAATTCGCAGGCACTTCTGGCCAGCCATGGTGCAGGCAAAGTGGGTTCTGGCATCTCAAGATCTCAGTATGGATTCAAAGGTGGCTGTTGGAAGTCCACTGTCATTCATAGAAATGGTAAGGGGACTTGGGTGGAGCACCAACAGTGTCTAATACACAGCTCCCAGCCTAAATCCCTGTGTGGTCACGTGTCCACTGTTAACTTGGAGGGCTCTAGTTGTTGAAACTGACTAAAGAAGGATAACAGAACCCTGCTCCTGGAACACTTGAGTGGTGTCTGCCATTCACAGGAGTGGAGGTGACAAGGCCTGACAGCACTGCGAGCTGAGCCTTCCTCAAGCCTACAGCACAGGCTGTTGAGTAGTTTCTGCATGCTTACCAATAACTTCTTGTTTAATAAATATCTGTATGTGTGCAGAATTTGTTCCAAGACCTCCTTCCCTTACAATCTAGTAGTGGGACATCAAGGGGGTAGCTAACAGCAAAACCTGAGAGGAGCGTTCAGTAACTGGCCTCATCACGCTGAGTACTGGCGTGCAGCACGGGTGCTCCTCTGCACACAGCACAAGATACTTAGTCTCAGGACGCACACTGCTGCACATTTATTAGAAGACCCCAGTGGCTTCACACACACCTACCTGCACAGTGTAGCTTCCCAGGGTGGTGGCCCGTTTAAACCGCCGGCCTTGTTGCTGGGACATCATGAAGAGCTGGGCCAGGCGCTGCTCCATGACCCGGGCGAAGCTCTGGTTGTGCAGGCCCACCAGCGAATTGTCCACACCCTGCAGCACTGTGGATGCAGAAGGCAGAGCGGCTGCTCAGAGGACAGACTCCCCGCTGACTCAGAAACCATAATCACCACAGGCCACTGAAGGACACTGTGCCTACCTCAGGTCAGGGCTTGGCCATTCTTACCTCACCTCACAACAGCCCCAGGAGGTAGGAATCACTATCCATGCATTATAGATGCTGAAAAGGTTAAGGGAGTTGTCTGAGGTCACACAGCTGGTAACCAGCAAAGCCAGCCTTCAGACCCAAGCCTGTGTACCTCCAGAGCCTGGCTCTCTCCTCTGTGAGCTGACATGTCTAACGCTGCTGTATTAAATCAAACCTTACTAAAGACGGGATGCGTTGTTAAGAGTCCATATGGGAATACAACACAGCTGTGGGTACAGCTAATTGGGTTTTTACTGGTTCCCACGCAGAAGCCCTGGCTCAGGGCTACCTTTATTTTACTCCTCCTTCTCAACAGTTTTGCTGAGGACTCTGAGCTCCATCCTGCACCCCAGCCCCTTACACCTGGGCAAACTATCTGTTCCGTGCCCCCATCCCGCCCTCCTCTGCAGGGCCTTTCGGGACCCACCCCTGGAGCTGTGCGAGGCCTCTCAGGAACTCTCCTATTTGAGAGCAGGACAGCGTAACAGAAAGAGTGGGCTCTCAGTGCTGGCACGGGCCAGTTGTGGGATTTGGGGCAAATTACTGGCTCTCTCTGAGTCCAAGTCCTCCTCACTGAGAAGGAAATAAGAAAGTCTACATCACAGTGAACGTGTTCCTAACGGGCTCCAAGGTTGAGATGAGACAAGACATCTAAAGCAGCTTAGCCCAGTGCCGGGTGCGTGGAAGGTGAACAGAGCTCCTCTCGTCCCACCCCTCCTCCACTGCTGCCTCCCTCCACTCCCAGGATCATCTTTAATCAAGAGGTAAGGCATTAACGATGGAACTCCAGGCAATGTCCTGTGCATGGAGGAGGATTTTAATGAACACTATGGGCGTTCTAGGACTGCTGTGGTCACAAGCCTGGGGCCGCTGCCTTTTGCTGCCTACCCCAGAAGTCCAGTCCTTCCTCCAAGTCCCTTGGGAAGCACACTTCATCCCAAACACATAAACACTGCCTTCCAACATAGTCATCTCTAAAATTAAAAATGTGAAAAACAATTCTCATCTTCCTAAAGGGACCACAACTACATCGGCTGGGAATGTAATACAAGATTTTTCATTTGATAAAGGGTATTCTACTGCATCCAGCCAAAGGCCATTAACACCACCCATCTAATGGGATATGGAAATATCTTGGATATAAAAAACTTGCTGTTCTTATGATCACATTCCATATAGCACCAGATCAAGCAACTGATGACAAGGAGAGACAGAGAATGCTGTTTAAACCAATCAAGAGAGAAATAAAACCCACAGCTGAGTCTCAGAAATTACTTCTTTGAAGCCATAAATGCCAAGTAATCCCTAGGGAGGATATAAAGCAGCTCTCTTCCTAGGGCCCTGTGAGGGACTCCTAGCTCATCTGTCAGCAGCATTCCTGCAAACAAAGATAAAACCCTCCTGCGCTGTCCCCACTGTAACAGGTCCCAGAGAGGCCCCTCGGAGCCCCTGCTGACATCGCCTTCCTCCTGGCCCAGAGAGCAGAGCCCACGTCCTGGCTGGTTCAGACGCCCCTCCAGTAAGATTACAGAACCAACCTCGGAAGGCTCACTTCTAAGTTGGCCTCCCCTGACCGCTAGCCGGGGGGGCACAGGACAGTCGAGGGTGTCACCATGTACTTTACGGGAACCCCAGCAACGATTAAGGGCCGACATCAAAGGGAATAGTCAAAGCCTCCAGGTGATGAAAAAGTTCCGGAAATAGTGGTGACAGTTGCAGAACACTGTGAAAGTACTTAACGCTACTGAATTGTACACCTAAAAATGGTTAAAATGTAAATTGAATGTTATGTGTATTCTACCACAATTTTAAAAATTGAAAGGGAAAAAAGAAACCTCCACAGAAGTGCAGGAGGCTGTGGGAACCCGCCACAGAGTTACCTGGAATCAATAACTGGACAGTCCCCATGTGCCTCATCGCTGGGTCTGCAAAGAGAACGTATCCTTCTTAGGAGGCAGCTGGCAGAGAGCTGGGGGTTGGCGCCAGGGCCTGAGTTTGAATCTGGCTCCCCCTTACTGAGTGTTCTTAGGCAAGTCGCTTATTTCCTCTGGGCCCCTCATCTGGAAACACGGGGATCATAATCTACTCCTTATTGTGTCCTTGTGAAGAACAGATACTTTAGGGGGCCGGTCCCGTGGCGTAGCGGTTAAGTGCGCGCACTCCGCTGCTGGCGGCCCAGGTTCAGACCCCAGGCGCGTGCCGACGCACCACTTGTCAGGCCATGCTGTGGTGGCATCCCATATAAAGTAGAGGAAGATGGGCATAGATGTTAGCCCAGGGCCAGTCTTCCTCAGCAAAAAGAGGAGGATTGGCATGGATGTTAGCTCAGGGCTGATCTTCCTCACAAAAAAAAAAAAAGAACAGATACTTTATAGAAAGTGCTTCCAGCGTAGTGCTCCAAGGCCCGCGAGAGGATGCCCATAAGTGGCAGCTATTGCTGTTGTTTGAATGTGTCCTCTTCTTTGCTAGACACAGCCTTACTAGAGGAGGAGATCACATGGAAAATACAGAACTGTGCTCCAGGACTGTGGCTCCTTTCCTGTCTCCTGAGAAGTGTGGCCGGCCTCAGTCTCCTGGCCTTCTCCGCCCGCCTGGAAGGGAGTGGAAAGTGGTGTGTGCTCATACCTCTCACAGCCACACAGAAGGCGACACAGTAGGGGAGCATGGACCCTGGCGCAGGTGCCCAAGAAGACAGCAGCTCCTCAGCGCATCAGCCAGGGCCCCAGCCGCCCACCCTCAGCCACCACTGACTCAGCTTAGAGGAGGTGGGCAGGTCCCCAGCGGTGTTCAAAGGAGCTTCTTCCGGAAGATTGGGTGGCTGTGACATCACTGGTTTCTTGTTCCTTCTGTATTTACAACTGCACTGGGCTCTAAACTTCCAACCATCAGGCCTGGTTCAGCCTCCTGTATTCAAACTAAATTGTTTTACTCGTGGTTGACTCACACATTCAGAGCTGAAAGAACCTGAATGCTCCGTTCATATGTTCTTCTCATTCTAAAGGTGAGAGCGTGACACCTAAGGACCTGAGTGATTTCCTCAAAGACACACTAGGTTAGTACATAGCAGAGCTGAGATGAGAAGAAACCCTGGGATTGTTGAGTCTGGGATATTTTGACCCTGGTGGGTGAAATAAAGACAGACGAGTAGACCTAAGATGGGCGCACACTTGTGTCAGGCAGCAATACGAAGTCTGCGCATCCCTATCCTGCCTCATACATACAACCCTGACTACAGGATCCAGGGACAGCGGGGTGGCCCCTGGACTCTCTGTAAAGAGGACTGCAGAGGTCACCCTAAACCAACGATTTTCCACCAAAGAGGAGCCCACACTCAGGGAAGGGAGAAGTGTACAGTGTGAAGAAACATTTAGTGTAAGTTGAGTCGGAAAACAGATGAGAACATGTCAGGGTTTGGTAACACAAACTACAGAAAGAAAAGTCACTCCAAATCCTCCTGGCTGCTGGCAATGAGCAGAGCACCGGGTGCCGTGACGACCGTCCGGGTGTGAAAGGCAGAGGGTTACTGAAGGGCTGTGGGTTTGAGCAGGCTGAAGAAAGCTCTCTTTGTCTCCTACCCCTTCCGTGAGTGACGGTAAAAGCTGGTGGTGGCTGCCCACAGGTGTACAAGGGGTCAGGAATCACAGGGAAGAAGCTCATCCTGAGACCGGGTCCCACCCCCAAAGCACTAACTAACTGACGCCACGAGCCACAAACACGGGGTGGAGGCCACTGTTTATTCTATGACCAATAGCGCTAACAGCAGCAACAAGGGAGGGTTATACAGGAGAGTGGGGAGGGCCTTAAGTCCCAGGAGAATTCTGGAAACAAGACTACGTGTGGAGCTTTTTATTACGGTTATGTCACTAAGATAGAGACAGGGCAAGACACAGGGACAGGAGGAAAGGATGAAACAGGAGATGGTCGAGGACAGCCGAGTTTCAGAGAGGATGTCCTACCATTTCACATAAACCTTCAAGTTAACAGAAGAAGAGAGATATCTGCAAGTCAAAAACCAGCATTCCTGGTGGAGGAAATGTGATTTTGTAAATGTTACATAACCTGCTGGCTTCAAAACACGTGTACGTGGGTGAGCACTGTCTCGCTCTTGGGCATAAACTGGTGGGGTTTTTTCCTTTTGAAACACATTTCTTTAGTTTGCCTTCTTAGCAGGTAAAATAATCTCTGCATATCCACAGCTCTGTGGGGGAGACAGAAATGCAATTTCCTGCAGCTGAGGAGAGGTGAGGAGCGGGCTTCATCAAGCAGGGGGGTGCTCCTTAGTCAGTATTCGAGGCAGCGGCCCATCTACTGCTTGTCTGGGATGGCAAATGAGGGAGGAGATGGGGAAGGAAGAAAGAAGAAGGGAGTTTCAGACTGGGCTGCTTGCCCAGGCCCATCTCCCATGACTTGCAGGATTCTCTTCCCTCCTTGTGATGGGCTGAATTGTGTCCCTCCAAATTCACAGGTTGAACCCGGACCCCCAGGACCTCAGAACGCAACTGTATTTGGAGAGAGGTAATTCAGGTAAAACGAGGTCAGTAGGGTGGGCCCTAATCCAAGATGACTGGTGTCCTTACAAGAAGAGGACATTAGGACATAGACACGTGGGGACACAGGGAGAAGGTGGCCGTCTACAAGCCAAGGAGAGAGGTCTCAGAAGAAACCAACCTGCCCTCACTTTGATATCGGACTTTCAGCCTCTAGAATTGTGAGGATATAAATTCCTGCTGTTGAAGCCCCGAGTCTGTGGCACTCGGTCATGGCAGCCCTAGCAGACTAACATAGGCCTCTGGCCGTCCCTCCCATTGATTGCTGGGCTGGCCACATTTCCTCCTAAAAACATCCCTTCTCTCTTTGCTCCTACCCTTGCTTCTCTGATTTCTCAGCTACTGTCTGGCTTTTGAAAAACACAAACAAGAACTTTTTTGCTGTTTCATAAAGCTCAGCTGGGAAATGTCAAGGGGAAAGAAGAAAATGCCACCAAAACACCCTTCCACTTCCCTCAACCCTCACAGTCAGGACACGCCTGGGTTCCAGCGGGATGAGTGTGGGCGTGGGCCTCGGGCCGGGGAGAGAGGAAAGGGCAGGCCCAGCATTCCTCTGACTTTCACGGGGGATTCGGAGGGCAGTGCAGAAAGGCCTACCATCTTTAAACAGACAGACAGCCGTTCACAGGGACATGCCCCAGACTTCCACAGGTTAATGCTGTCCCTTCTGATGGGTCCACTTTTTGCAAAGAGGAGGCCACTGGGTGGGACTCTCCAGGTAGCTGTTTGACTTGTTTATCCAATATTCATCTCCAGTGTGATGTCTTTTCTTATCTCAGCTTATCCACCCACTTCTGGGCCTGTGGAAGTAACTCCTTGACTTATAAGACAAGACCCAAGAAAAGATCCTAATCCTGTCGCTAAAGGGCATGCAGTTTTAAAAAACAAACCAATCTGAGAGGGTGAAAGGGGAAATAAAATAAGAGATTACCTGTAATTACCCAATAGTCTCTGGTTGTTTCTGATATGTCAAGGTTGGGATATTCCAGTGCTGAGACAAACAAGAAACACGCCCAATTACTGCCACAGGTTTTATACGTACATACCGTTGGGGGAAATGAACATAGTTGACAAAATATCAAGCAACTAAGGCTTGCTTTATCGTCTTGGGAACTCTAGGACATACACGCCAAAACTATCTTGCTGTTCAAAGGACAAAGGCTCAGGAAAGGGCTAACTTGCAGATGAAGAGTTTGCTAGGGTTGGTGGGTTTCTGCTCTTTCAGGTTGCGCATCGAAATGCTCTCCAGTGGAACATCTGCGTTATCAAGACGTGCAGCTGGAACCCGCCTTAACTACCTAAAAATCATCCAACCATCGCTACCACTTTTAGGAATAATGATCTCTTGAATGGATTTTTCCAATGTCAAGGACCGAGTTTAGTAGCCAAATGCTTGTAATGAATGGCCCCACTTCCTTACAGGTGTGGTGAGCATCAGAGTTAACACATGTAAAGGGCTTCGCACAGGACCTGGCCCACAGTAAGTGCTCAATAAGTCTTAGTTCTTGTCGTTATTATTATCAGAATATCAAGATGATGAGAGAAAATAAATTCTTCACATGCTGCCATGTGACACAATGCCATCTTTTATGACATCATCTGTTCCATAAAATCCAGAGTCATCCTTCCTTATGACATGGAAATTCTCAAAAGCTTGCCATTAAACCAATGTTCAAAAAAAATTTTGAGTGGCTGTGGTGTGCTAAGTACATTCACACACATCATCTCATTTATTTACAATGTCAAAAACAATCACAGAAGGAAATAGAAACAATTTTAATAATATGGGATTAAAAAAAAGAAAGCGTGCCCAGTGACCTTGAGAAATGTACCGATTAAATTTAAGAGCACAAATCTTTACTTCCTTTGGCTACCAAGGAAGTGTTTGGGTACAAAATGTAGGCTGCATCGTCTTTGAAGTCTGTGCCTGCTGCATGGTTATGACAATTATGCAACTGAAGCATTAGAGGAGGACGAGGCCACAAGACTACGGGACTTCATCGAGTGAAGTCACGATGCTGATGGCAAATGAGCTGCATTATGATATCTACAGCCAGGGCATGCGCTGAAGGCCCAGGAACATCTGCTGATGGCGGAAGTGGAGGCAACATAGCAACCCAGACTGCCACGAGGACAGATGCCCTCCCAGGCGGGTTCCAATCCAGGTTCCACGTCTCCCTAGCTATGTAAGAGTGGGCGTCTCTTGGAGCTTCAGTTTTCTCATCTGCAAAATGGGGCTAATTGTGCACCTACCTTACAGGGTGGTTGTGAGGATTAAACGAGATAAGGGATATTTGAAGAGTAAAGGCATCTAGTAAGTGTTTTTTTTCAATGTGCAATAAAGTTATCATCAATTCAATCCCCATTTATCACGTCAGTTTTTCTTTTATGACAAAAGAGTTAGTACGTGGCCTGGCACAATAGATGTTTGCTAAATGGGGAAAGGGCCCAGGGAAAATGGCAGAGTCCCCATAGGACACGGACATACTCACGTTCGGCAGTGGTGAGCGGCGGGTAGGTGAGGTAGAACCCCACCAGCTCAGCCGAGAGCTGGCGGAGGAGGCTGCTGGCCACGGTGCCGTTGAGGAAGGAGCTCTGGTTGCCCACCACGTACATCAGCGTGACTGTCTGGGAGGCGTTGGACGTGCTCACAATCTGAATGGACACAGGAGGGAAGGGAAGGGAGACACGCCAAATAAGATGAGGGTCTGTTTTATGGAGGCCGGGGAGAAGTTTCAGCAGAAGTCGAGGGTAGGAATGAAGGGAGGAGGAAACAGAGCAAGGAAGAGACAAGAATAACAACAGCTGTCAGTTACTGGTGGCTCGCTGTGTGCCCAGCATCCCTATCTCATTTAACCCTCACCACAACCCCAGGAGGTGTGTCCAGTTATGACTCCCCTTACAGAGGAGGAAACTAGGCCCAGAATGACCAAGGGACTTGCCCAAGGTCACACAGCTAATACGTGACGGAGCCAGGATTCGAACCCAAGCAGTCTGGGTGCAGGTTTTAACCAGGTGTATGTATCTTTTCCGGGGACTAAATTGTCCCAGGGTACTTTTGTAGTTCTGAAAATACAAAATAGAGCACAGGAATGTTAAATTTAGGGAGAGCTAAACTGCTCAGACAGAGCAAGCCTGAGTCAAACTTTTGGGGAATTTTAAAGTTGAAGGGACAGGAACGTACACAGCTGATCACCACCCCAGCGATGGACAGAGTGACTGAACCTAGTGACAAAAGGAATTCAGAAATATAAAATCACTTCTGTAGAGAGCGGTTACATTTCCTTGTGCTCTCTTAATTCAATATAGAATATGTAAATATTACTATGAGATGATGTGGTTTTCTTCTTGCATTTTGTCCAAGTCACTTTTTCAGTTACCGGAAAATGAGGTTTTCTGGGTCAACGTATGGATAAAAATATCCCACAGATGAGATTTGAAAAACAGACTCAGAGGAAGTCATTCAACTTGGTGAGACCGTCTTTGTCAGGTTCTGGGCCAGGTGTCTGCCCCTGCCCCATCCAGAAGCACTTGCACCCCCTACCATGTCCTACTCAACACCCCCAGAGGCAGACCCTGTGGACCACCTCAATGGGTTCCTTTGCTCTCTGGCTTCAGCTAAAAGGAGCTTGGGAGGCTGTGGGAGAGAGGGAGGGCAGTGAGGTCAGAGCTTGAGTGTCTGGGACTCCCTGTGGGGACACAGCTCTTGTTGGGCAGCTCTGGCCTCTGGCTTCCCATAACTGCTCCCACCTCTTCCAGCCTTGGGTACCGCCCCGTCCTGTGGTTTCCCCAGAGCCTGCCCATGCTTCTGCAAAGGGTCCCTATTATTGGACTCTCCTCAAATTACCATTATCTGAGTGTGCCTTCTCTTCCTGCAGGGAGCTGACTGATAGCTGGTCTTTCCCAGACCTTTGTTTGTTCAGACAGAAACACCCCTGTAACTTTCCCTTGGAACTTATTTTTAAGAAGACTGTCATAAGAAGAGCTTCATGTTATTTCCTACTTTTTCCCATAAGTGGAATTTCCTTTTTAATTCTCTAACACAGAGCCTACAGTCCATGATTAACGACAGACTGAGTCAATGTTTCTGGTCAACTCTTCAGAAGTATTTCTGGAATGTGGTTGAGCCACAGGTATTCAGGCCTTTTTTCCAGGGTACCAAAAAGAAAGGCACTTCTCTCTAACAATTCAAAAGACCTCACTGTGCACCACCTAAAACAATAATAACTAAAATAACTTCAACCTTTATCTCTATTGTAAACATTCTATTTTTTGTTTTCCAACAAAACTAAATCTCACTGTAGAGAAAAGAAGCCTACAGAGCTTGCACTACGGGTACCTCTATACATACTGCACTCGGCCAGGTGAGGTACATTTTTTTTATTGTGGTAAAATACACATAAAATTTACCATTTTAACCATTTTAAGTGCGCAGTTCAGTGGCCTTAAGTATATTCACACTGTTGTGCAACCATCACCACTATCCATTTCAAGAACTTTTTAATCACCACCAACTCTCCATTTCTTCCTCTGTCCAGCCCCTGGCAACCACTATTTTACTTTGTCTCTATTAATTTGACAAAACTAAATATCTTTTATAAGTGGAATCATACAGTATTGTCCTTTTGTGACTGGCTTATTTCACTTGGCATAATGTCCCCAAGGTTCATCCATGCTGTAGCATATGTCAGAATTTCTCTCCTTTTTAAAGGATGAATAATATTCCGTTGTATGTATATACACATTTATTTATCCATTCATCTGTGGATGGACACTTGTGTAGCTTCCACCTTTTGGCTGTTATGACTAATGCTACTATGAACACGAGTGTACAAATATCTGTTCAAGTCCCTGCTTTCAATTCTTTTGGCTATATACCCAGAAATAGAATTACTGGATCACATGGTAATTCTACATTTAATTTTTCGAGGAACCACCATACTGTTTTCCACAGCAGCTGCACCATTTGACATGCCCAAGAGTTCCAATTTCTCTACATCCTCACCAACTCTTGTTATTTTTTATCATAGCCATCCTAATATGTGTGAAGTGGTATCTCGTGGTTTTGATTTGCATTTCTCTAGTGATTACTGATGTAGAGCATCTTTTCTCTTATTGGTCATTTGCATATCTTGGGCTTACTGATCACTTGCATATCTTCTTTGGAGAAATGTCTATTCAAGTCCTTCGCCCATTGCTTAATTGGGTTGTTTTTTGTTGTTGTTGAGTTGTAGGAGTTCCTTATGTATTCTGGATATTAACCCCTTATCAGATACACAACTTGCAAATATTTTCTCCCATTCTGTGGGTTGCATTTTGATGGTGTCGATTGTGTCCTTTGATCCACAAAAGTTTTCAATTTTGATAAGTCCAATTTATCTATTTTTTTCTTCTGTTGCCTATATTTTTGGCGTCATATCCAACAAATCATTGCCAAATTCAACATCATGAAGCTTTTCTCCTCATTAATTCCTAGGAGTCCTATAGTTTTAGCTCTTACATTTCAGTCTTTGATCCATTTTGAGTTATTTCTTGTATATGGTATTAGGTAAGGGTTCAACTTCACTCTCTTGCATGTGGATATCCAGTTTTCCCAATACCACTGGTTAAAAAGACTGTCCCTTCCCCACTGAATGGTCTTGGTACCTGCGTCAAAAATTATTCCACCATATATGTGAGGGATTTTTTCTGGGCTCTCTATTCTCTTCTTTTGGTCTATATGTCTATCTTTATACCATTACAATGCTGTTTTGATTACTGTAGCTTTGTGGTAAATTTTGAAGTCAGGAAGTGTGAGACCTCCAACTTTGTTCTTCTTTTTCAAGATTGTTTTGGCTATTCAGGGTCCCTTGAGATTCCATATGAATTTTGGGATGGTTTTTCTATTTCTGGAAAAAAAAAAAGTCACTGGGATTTTGATACAGATTATATTGAATCTGTAGATCACTCTTGGTAATACTGACATCTTAACAATATTAAGTCTTCCAATTCATGAGCACAGACTGTCCTTCCATTTATTTGTGTCATCTTTAACATACTCATTTTTTTACAGATAAGAAAAGTGTGACTATTCTTGGTAGCTGCTTAACACTAGCTTCATAAATGAGAAGAGGTCCATAGGCCTGAGACCAAGGTTCCCTGTAGGTCATGCCTTGTCCCCAGTAGAAGCAGCCCCTCCAGGGGCACTTTCCCAACACCCCTTTACACGTAGACTCCTTGCATCTTCTGACATCATCGCTTACTTCCCATTCACCCATGACATGATTCATTTAGCTAATTAGACCTATGACGTTGACAGAATGGAAAGTTGTTGTTTTGCCTACCCAGCATCCATTCTCCTTTCTGTTCTAACAGCACCACAGTTCTCCTTGGGGAAACACCTCTTCTCTCCCATCAGTTCATGTGCTTTGTGGCAGGCTGCCCCACCCAAGTTCCAGGGTGGGACCCTGGTTCCAGGGTGGAACACCCAAGTTCCTGGCACCTGAGCCAGGCCTGGTTGATTGGGACATTTCATCTCCTTGGCCACAGTTACTGGTCCAGAAACGGCCAAATGATCCAAATGGGTCCAATGAGAGCTAATCCCAGGATTTGTACTGGAATGACAGAAAAAAGGCACTTTGTTTCCATGAGACTGTGAGCAATAAGGATGAGGCAAATCTGGAGGTGCCAGGGGCCACCACATGGGGCCTGAGGATGATGTCAGCCCAGGGCGAGGCAAGCCAAGAGATGAAGAGAGACTTTCATGAAGAAATTATGTAGGCACCTGGATCCAATTGTGCCTGAAGTAAATAAGCTGTGAACCTTCCAGTTACATGAGCCAATCACTTCTTCGTCTTGGTTCAGCTTTGTGTGCCTGGATTCTGTCACTTACAATGAAAAAAGTCCTAACCGAGTCTACCGTAATCTACCCCCTAATATTGATGCTATACAAACAAAAAACTAGTAAGTCACTTTTTCAACGACTCTCTAAAATTAATTATTTACATGATCTTATTCCACAAAGGATCCAAGGTGCCCCACAAATTATATTTAGTACAATAAAATGGAAAGTTATTAATTACAAAGCCAGGTCCAGGGAAAAGAGACAAAAGACAACCCCGGGGGATGGTTAGCTTATAGGTATCTATGCATGATATAGGGGCCTAGAGGGTTACAAACTCCAGGCAACAAATTTGGTTCTGGGCTTCCCGTCAGCCAAGGCAAAAAGTGAAACAGCATTAATAAAACAATTCTCCCAATTATCCATTCATTTCAAGAGCTGCTGAAATGTTCAAGAGCATCTAAAATCTATTGAGATGCAATTTTCAAATTACCTGTTGTAGTTTTTCTGAGGAAGGTTTGTTAACTTGCTTTACAAAGTTTCATCTCACGGCCCATGACTATGATACAACACAAGGGAGGCTTCTTAAGGCCAAGGGCAGCTTATTTATCTTGGTGTCCCTCCCAGTGCCTGATAAATAGCAGGCACTCGATAAGTCTATGCTTCCTGAATGCAATTAGAGTATGCTCTGCTGCCAAGCTCTACCCAGGCTCGTGCACCTGCGAGGCTCACGGATCCACTCAGAAAGAGAAAGACCTCCCCCAAAGGAGCTGAGTCACACTCCTGAGATAATCTTACGTCTACAACACGTTTTTAGATCTTAGTTTAATATGAACCAAATCATAATGAGATACTTCCACATTCACTTCAGATGAATCTAGAAAAGGAAAACTGCTCATTCAAATTAAATCGTATGCTTTCTACATCATATTGGCTTTGCTGATAATTCACTTATGCTAAATGTCAATTTTAAAACCACTGGGTTTAATTGCAAAGGCTTTAGTTCAGTAAAAACAGAGACATTGGAGAGCACAGTTAATTAGAGAAATTTGGGGGCTGGATGAGTATCATCAAGAGGCATCTGTCTTTTGTGGGAATGTTATCTATATAATGGCAGAAACTGGGTCTGAGAAAGGCTTTTGGTGGCGTGTCTACTGTCGATCCAGGAAGCTGAAATACAGTACATCAGGAGGGGATCTTCCTGGGAAAGGATTCAAGTGTTTGCCAAAAGTTTCATAGTGGATAAGCCTAGTGGATAAGACCATGGGCTTTGACTCAAGTCGTTGTTCCATTCTTTACCAACCGTGTGACCTTCTGGAAGTTTCTGAAGTTCCCTCAGTTCCCTCTTGTGAGATGGTGATAATACCTCAGAGGGGTGTCTTGAGTATTATATCGCAAAACATCTGTAAAACACTTAGCACAGTCTTGGCACACAGCAAGCCCTAAATATAAATTGTGTGTGTGTGTGTGTGTGTGTGTGTGTGTGTGTTTAAACTAAGGTGATTGTTTATGTGGATGTCTGGAAAACAAGTGGATGCACATCACAGAATAGGGAAGTCTCAGTGAGTTAATTATTTAGAACTCATTCATTTTAGAGTAGACATTGGACAAATATAGCATATCTAGTTCAGTTTTTTAAAATAATCAATGTATCGAGAAGACCTGAGGAAGCTTCACATTTTATACTTATTTAAGTATAAAATCCCAAACCATAGAAGGTACATAGCAACATAGCATCCCTCCTATTACGGCCATACCCCAGACACCCTCACCATGACAGCTTGACTCTTCTCAGTGGCTCTGAGTGGCCCCTTCTCCTGTCTACATCACACACCTGAAGTACACAGTTGCATTTATCAGGCAGTTTTGGAACGGGGACCGAGTGGCTTGCCAGTGTCTGCATGATGGCTGGCCCCCATCAGCTGCACGCTGCAGCGCCCTCCTCCTCACCTGAATTGTCAGGTTGCTCTTGGTGTTCAGGACTTTCCTCTCGGCATCCTGGAAAGCCTTCTGCAGCCTCTGTTCCATCGTCTGAGCAAACTTGCAGGACTGTATGTTGTCAGACGGGCTCACAAACTGCAGCACTGGAAGGAGAGGAACAGCTCGGCGCTCACCAAAGTCCCGTGTCCTGGCCCCTTGGACTTAGTGGCAGTCATGATATGAAACAGCATGATTTTACATCAGAGAAACTAGGCAAATAGTGACAGACAAGGTTTGGTTGTAGTTTTGGAAGTGGCTCTTAAAATGATTTATAACACAGAAGAATTAAAAGTGTGATGGAACCTGAGATTCCCTCCGATGCAAAGGATTTTGTGATGTCATTTGATGGGAATTTGTCGACATCTGCTCCAGGACTGACAGAAATAACCTGAGAGGGATCAGGCCTTCCATTTCTTTGGGGGGAAAAACATCAATTGACCAGCATTACTAAGTTGATTGAGTCTTTCAATTTAATGGTGTCTCCACTCTCGTGGTTTGGAAACCACGAGATCAGAAACACCAAGGGCTTGAAAGAAGGAGGCGAAGGCCCAAGCTCAGAGACTCTGACTCTGTCATCTGAAACACGCGGCTCCAAAGCACGGATTTCACGGATGCTCGACTCTTATCAGTAGCCGCTAGTAACACAGAGAAAAATAAAAGATACAGGACTTGGTGCTCATAAAGTACTAATCATATAAATTGGGAAGGAAGGTTCCCATGAAGGAATATTTCTAACAAATCCAGGGTTGGAAAAGTTTAGGCTGATGTGCAGGGAACTAGACATTTGATTAGCAGGGCCCTTTGAGGAAGGTGCACAGGGACTTTAAGAGACGACGGAGAAGCTCGCTATGGAGTTTGCACACAGGTGTCCTCTTGGTATGCCCCCGATCCCAGAACAGACAGGAATCCTCTCTTTCTGAGGTACTTGCCTGTCTTCAGCTGGAAGTAGCCTGCGGGCTGGGGGTTCCACAGGGAGGCAAGCACTGCCACAGACTGCAAGCTTGGGGTGTGCTGCTTCAGATCTGCAGTGACGTTGCTGACCCCATAAACACCCAGCATTTCGATCACTACGGCAGGCAAGTACACCAGCCTCCCTTTGGTAGCATAATAACCAACTGTGACGTTATGAGAATGTTCCAGAATGTCCACCTACAAAACAAATGGACCCACAGAACTCAGTGTTTATTTCCACGGTACTTTAAGTTCTTCTTGGCGTTTCTTAGAACTACAATTGTTATTTAGCATGGCTAGGGAACAGGATGTTCTCATTCAACAAATATTCTAACAATCCTATAAAGCATACGCGGATTGGCAAGTCTCAAAATATCAGAATGCAACAATATACAATTTATATCGAACCTACATGGAATAGAATTGATCTATGGTTTTTGTTTTGATTCCTTAAGTGCCCCAGTATAAACATGTGAGCACCAATTATCACTCAAGAAGGCAGACAAGAGACAGTGGCAAAAGAGATTTCCAGGGAATGGAATGCTGGGAAAAACAGGTTTATTATATTTCTCATCATTTATGAAAATTAAAAGGCAGAAATGATGGACTAACTGAGGGCATCTTCGGAACAAGGGTCAGGTAGTAAATGAAGTGAATTCCTCTCTCTAGAAGCTGAGAGAAGAACTGTTCAGATTTCATCGCATTCTTGGCTTGTGAGTCGATTCAAGACCAAGGTGGGCTCGGCCGTGGAGGGCTTCTCCTTCAGCTGAGTCCTACGGGACACTGATGATCGGAGCTCTTTCTGACCCACCTGGAAGATTTTGAGGCTTTTGATTTTATTCTTATTTTGTTTTGCTTTCTTGGTGTTTAATATTAACAGTGCAGGGTATTTTTAACACCCACTTTCCCCCCTTATTCTTGCATCTCCGTTACAAGCAGCACGTGTATTTGCCAAAGAAACCAAGACCACGGATCTGCAATGGGCTGGGCATGCCTTCGGCCCCTCCACGCTGTGCACTCCCCTCTACTTTGTCTCCTACAGGTGGCGTTCAGATGACTTTAGGTAAAACAAGAGACACTTCTGGAAGGAACATGGACACCACACTCAACAACACCAAATCACCAGTAAGAAAGCGACTCCCATTCTAATCCTTATAAATGTCTCAAGGAGCACATCTCAGTTTGGGGACTAGTTACCTATAACGTCTCTTTCATCCAGCCAGCCCTGGCGGTCTAGTGGTTAAGCTCCAGCGCTCTCACCGCCTCCGCCCGGGATTTTTCCCCAGCTCAGGGAACCACACCACCCGTCTGTGGGGTGTCATACTGTGGCGGCTGCATGTTGCTATAATGCTGAAAGCTATGCCACCAGGATTTCAAACACCGGCAGAATCACTCATGGCAGACAAGTTTCAAAGGAGCTTTAGACTAAGACAGATGAGGAAGAAGGACCTGCCCACCTACTTCCAAAAAATTGGCCATGAAAACCCTGTGAATAGAGGCAGAGTATTTTCTGATGGAGCACCGGAAGGGGAGAGGATGGCGCAAAAAGACCAGCAGGGTTCCGCTCTGCTGTGCACAGGGGCGAGATGAGTCGGAATTGACTCGACAGCACTAAAAAAAAAAATCTTGCTTATCATATTTTTAAACTAACAAAGGGAAACCAGGCTCAGCCTGAGAGCCTTCTGCAAGGCACAATGTCTAGCTAAATTTAACAAGCTGTTTCCGTTATTCTTATTTTTATGATTACCTCTTATTTGTGGCAAATAATCCTGATTTCCATTTACGGCGGTAATATCAAATGTCCTTTCAAGAGAAATGTATTGAAGTTTTTAAAAATGAGCCAATTTTTTAAAAAAAACTAATATGTACTAACTGTGACAGCTGTCTGTGATGATATGCAAATGACCAAAGTTGAGTGAAAACTGTCAGGCAACCAAATGGGAATATTCACCTTTTCAACTTTCAAATAATGTTTCTGTGCAGAAACCACAGATGCCTCTCATGGGATGCAGTTCTTTCTTTCTTTTTTTTCTCAGAATTATATAAAAGAGGTTGACAATGACCAACGATCTTGGTACTAAACCTCATTCCTGTCCTTGGTGGTGGTGGGACCACTAAGCTGAGGGCAGCTGTAGAACCAAGCAGCAAAGGAAGAAACCAGAGCAACATTTCTAAGTGGTGCAAAGGGCTGTCCAACGACTGCCAGTTGCATTTACTGCTTTAAAACTTGGAATCAAACCAAAAGAGTATAAATCAAGGCCTCCACCACTCGGACATGCCATCGAAACCAGCTAGCAGCCACTAAACAGTACTTGGCATTAAAGGATTTGGAGAGAAAAAATGTTTACTTCTCGGGGAGCTGCTGGCAATTTAAGCAAAGCTGGACTCAATTTACAAGTCAAAATAATTTTTCAATATCCAGAAATAAATCACTAACTATTTACAATGGTGAGAAAGATAAAGGATAAAGGAAAAATGGATGGTTTCTGGAAAATTACACTAACAATATTAAATACATTCCCCAAACAACAGGATAATGAGAGAATTTAAAACAGTATATCTGGGCTTTAAAAAAAAAACAACAGACATAAGGCAATTAGCCTCAATTTTCTATTTCAAAATCGGACATTTTTCTCCAGCGACCACACATTAGCTATTTGCCAAAAGGAAGCAAGATCTTCCTTCTGGGCAGTGTGATTATGGAGCCCAGGGAGGAGGAAAACAATCTAAACATACTCGGGACCCAGGAGGAGACATGGAGGGACTGGTCTGATTACAAAACCAAGGATCTTACATGAGCCGAGACATCACTCTGCTGGAAAGCCTTCCGCAAGGCCTGCGTGAGCCCTCTGGCTACACTGAGCTTCAAAGTTTCGCTGTTCTGCACTCTCCTTTGCGTCAGAAAGAGAACTGTGGGGCAAAGAGAAGCACGGTCATCAGGTGAGGCTGCAGACCTCTCACTGACCAAGCCCTCCCCTCTCCCAGCCAAGCCACCGCCTCCCGCAGGAGCACAGGTCCACCACCGAGAGGGGTGGGCTGGGGTAGCAGCTCTGCTGGTCCCACTAAAGGCCTAAGGAAAGAAGGCCCAGCCATTTGGGTGGCCCTAGTGGGGAGAGAGCTAGAACGCTGGTGGCACTTCACTTCTGACCAATGCAGCCTCTGACTTCGGAAGCCGGGCTCAGCAGTGCCTACCCTGGTGGGCCTGCATGGAAGGACATTCCGGGGCAGCACTCCCTGAGGGCTTACTCAAGTGCAGGCCCTGAGCAGGTGCTGCAGCCTAAACAACCCCAAATCAGGAAGGTGCCAGCCCCACCCCATGAGCGGGACGGAGAGAGGGGTGGAGTGAGACGGAGAAAAGGCATTTGTGACTGCAGGTGACAGGTGCTATTTGAAGGGAAGCCTAGGAGGAGCATCCAGTCCTGACTTGGGCAAGGGGGTGGGGCTCAGGGAAGGTTTCCTGGGAGTGAGCGGCCAAGAGGGGAGGGACTGCCCCACCCACACCCAGCGGAGGGAAGACCAGGTGCAAGTGAGCTATTCCAGAACACATGTTTAGGCTTGGTCCTAAGGGCAACAGGAAGTGAAGTTTTCAGCAAAGGCATGCATTTTAGAAGGCTCCCTTGACTGCAGACTGGCGAGCAGATTGGGGGACGCGGGGGTCTGAAGGCAGAGAGAGGAGTCTGGCTGTGGTTGCTGAAATTCAGGTGAGAGATCATGACAGTGTGAACCAGTGAAGAGGCAGTGGGGGTGGAGGGAAGGGGCATTCAGGAGGCAGCACCGAAAGGAACTGGTAATTGACTGGGGGTGGCTGGGGTGAGGAGGTCGTGAAGAAGAGGGAGGGAGGATGTCCCAGACTTCTGCATCTCGTGGCTGGGGCTGCCTGCCACTCAGAGGAGGAGGCGTAGATCTGGAGAGAGGAGGAAGAAGAGTCGAAAACCAGATAGTAAAATTTCTTGAGAAATAGAAAGAGATACTGTACTTTCTGCAATGCCTGGTTTCACAATTGCCTGTTTTAGAGTAGGCTGTCTCAAGATATAATTTCACTTAATTCTTTGTGGGGTGAAGGGGAAGGCAGGACGTGAGCAGTTAACATTGGCATGCTCTTTCAAATAATGTGTCTAACGCTTTTTATAGCAAACACTACCACACTGTCAAAAGCACCCTGTGCCTTCTTGGCCTGCTTTGCTGCAACTGGGAGGTGGGGGCTAGAAAGAGAGCACCCACCGCCCAATGTTTTCCAGAAGGTCTCCTTTTTTAACATCAAAAGAAATCCTGGGCACCCACAGAGGGTACTGTGGCTGCACTTTTAGTATCTGCTGATGGAGAAAATACAAGACAAAAAGCCTTTCTGAATTCTGTGGTACTTCCCAAGATTTTGTATTTTACTAATCACATCATTCATTCATGTGGGACATCACTGATTCACTCTACAGGCAAAACTTGGTGTACATTTGCTTTCTCAGATTCACTGGCAGAACTGGTTTCCCAGGGGCCTGCTATAGCAGGACTGATCCCAGTACTAGAATCCGTGTCACCTAACGCTCCCCCTCTCCTCTGTCACTTGATAAAGATCAGGGTTCTCAACCTCAGCACTCCTGACATTTGGGCTGGATTACTCTGTCGTGGGGCCATCCTGTGTGCTGCAGGATGTTCAGCAGCATCCCTGGTCTCTATCTCACTAGATGCCAGGAGCACCCTTCCTGCCCTCCAAGCTGCAGACACCCAAACGTCTCCAGACACGGTCGAATGTCCCCTGGGGAAGGGGGAGCGAAATCGCCCCTGGTTGAGAATCACTGATCTCAGAGAAATCTAGTAATTCTGTCACATCTCCGAGGCCAGGAAGTGCTTGCTGCTGTCAAGTAGAATCAGGAGAGCGGACTCTTACCCGTCTTCACCAGGAGCTTACTGGACATCTGACACTCCAGGCTGGATGCCCTCCTGCCCGTCGTGGCCACAGCAGTTGGTGCGGCAGGAAGAGCAGCATTCGTGTTCTCTGCCAGCACAGGCGGCCACCAGGTCGCCCTTACTGCTGCAGAGACGGATGTCAAGGCCGCCAGGACTGTCAGCGGGCGTGCGGTGGACGCCGTGGGAGTGTCTGGGTGGGGGAGGTTGGGGAGGCCCGTGTGCATGGCTTGTGGTGTCCTGGGGAGGTGTGTTGTGGACTGGAGGCCAACGGCAGTGCCCATGTCCCCCTGCATGGCTGTGTGAGCGCTCATGGTGTGTGCTGTTCTTGCAGACATGTAGGCTGGCGTGAACGAGAAGGCTGCATGGGCTGCTCCCGGTGTCTCCTTTGGGCCAGATGCTGCGTTGCTTGTGACATTTTTAGCTAGAGCAGTGGTCAGACTGCTCTTGGCTAATCCTAAGGCCATGGCTGAAGGGCTGCCGCTGGTCCCCTTAGCAACCAGGGCTGCAGACACGGCCGGTGGGCTTGGTTTCCTCCAAAACAAGGTGGCTGCTGCTGCTGCTGCTGTTGGTTCTGCCTTGGACGACACTGAGGAGTCCGCTGCAAAGAGAGAAAAAATGAAGTCTGTCATTAGCCTGCAGTGGATGTCACTTGTCGTGGTGATGAATGGATGTAACTTATGGGTTTGCTGGGGTGAAAAGTCTCTGTGCTCTGGAATTTAGGCAAAACAGCCTTAGGCTCATCAAGTCGATTAACCATAATGAGAATGCCACTTATAGCAAAGCTATGGTTGGTAATAAGGATACTTAAATTCTGAATACTTTCACAAAAATCAAGTCAGCAGAGGATCAAGGACACCCCTATGTGGGGCTGCTAACTCATTCGCCATCCTGAGAGGGCATGTCTGCTCCGGTGTCTGTGTTGAGTTTGAAGATGCTTTGGCCACAGAAGCAGTCATACCTGTTTTTGGGTACCAGGAAACAAACTACCTGCATTAGTGGCTGCACCTGTCCATTTCTTGGAGTGCTTGAGAAGCCAGCAGCACTTTCGATGGGGTCCTGAAAAAGGCGCTGGTGGATAGAGGATGAGATTCAGCAGGAGAGTGATATCTCAGGATACTCTGGAATGGTGTGGAATCATTTATCACAGGAGATGGATAGATGTCGCTGGAAATTTGGGAATTCGTCTCTATTCCACCTGAAAGCATGTTCTGCAAGCTAGCTGTGGAAGTTAGACTTGGAGAGGTTAGCAAGAGAGGCTGTGTTAGATGGGCAGGCAGCTGCAGACGAGGACAAGACACAGAATGTTGACTTGTGGATAGGTAATCTTCAACTTCAGCTGTTTGGAAGTCTCCAGCATGGTTGTTATTGCTTATGGACAAGAAGTCTGTGTGGCTCCCAACCACAGTAATGTCTGACTGTTGAACAGGCTGGCCGGAGCTTGTGCCAAGGACTGGATCCTGAATGCTGGAGCCTTCTGCAGCTGCTAGGTGCCCAGCAGTGTCTTTGATATCCCGAGACCTTACTGTACTGGCAGCTGACGTTAAACCACTGGCAGGAGTAGCTGAAGCTGAATGAGTTTCCCAATTTGTGGAGTTAATTATGTGCCCATTTAAATCATAATTTGTTTGCTGCAGTGAGCCAGATATCGTGGGTTCTGTGGAAAGGGATCCAGTTTCTGCGGAAAGAGAACTCCAGAAAACATCTGTGATTGCTGGCTTTTTCGTGTCTCCCATTGTTGAGAAATCATAGACCTCACCGGGGGAGGGAAATGCTGTCACCTGTTTGGAAGCTGAAACTGACAACTCAGAATGGTCCATCACAGCTGCGTAAGTCTCTGGCGTGGTGCTGGAAAAGCTCAGAGATGGGGAAACAGTCTGGGTGGAGGGATGGAAGGCGGAGATAATTCTGAAGAAAGGAGATGCGTTCTTGGAGTTGTAATGACAGTAGATGAAATGCAATCAGTGCTAAAAGTAGAAGTGAATCCATTTACCGTGTGAAGACTGGGAATCTCTTTCCTTGGAAGGGTCTGGAGAGCAACTGTCAAATTTGCCTTTTCATTTTTCTTTAGAACAGCTGTCATGCTATCTTCTTTCTGCAGGGGAAATGTCCAAGTTAAGGAAAGAAAATTAGGAAATTTGCTTGAGAGGAGGAAGTCTGTAGCTGCAGTAGGAGGTGATCCGTTGTTGCCCTCTCCTTGAGGAGCTGGCATTTTGGGCGCGGCGGAGAGAGAGGCGTGATTCTTTGCCGGCTGGAAGAGAGTAGGCATGGTGGGCAAGTCTGCTGCTGAGCCAAACGACGGTGATGCAGGAACGGCCCCAGAGGGTTGGCCTGTCCGTGGCTGGCTGTGGTGAGAGGCAGAGGGGAAGGCACCACAGAGGAAGATGTGTGTCCTGCTAAAAGGGCGGGCCCTTTGGAATTCTCTGGAGCTGGGGACAAATGTGATGGCTTAGCAGAGTCATCTGCAATAGCAGGGCCTGGCTTTCTGCCAGTCATTTCTACTGCCACTGACTTCACAGTCGGGGAAAGTGAAGGCGTGGCCTCTTGGATCGCTGCTGCTGTTTCTTAAGAGCCAGCAAAGACGCTCCGGTGTACACTCTTCCTGCCACCTCAGCGTCCATCGGCTGCGTGGGTGCAGGACTTGAAGCCACTTCCCACACTGACCTTGAGGGCGCTCCACCTGGAAGCTGAAGAAGATGTCCAGAGGCCAGGGGAGGGGCAACAGACGGGCCAGCTCTGCCGCGGAGCTCAAACACTCAGGGGTGAGGGGCCTGCAGAGCTAGGCCCCTCCATGGGGAACAGCTCAGAGTACTGCTTTGTTGAGGATTCAGAAAAACCTAGATGAGGGATGTCTATTAAATCCTGGGCATTTCTGGATGGAGTGTGGTTCACTTCATCAGCAAACGGGTTTAGGGGATTAGCTACGCTCTGAGTTGGAGAGGAGTCAGTTGGAACTGTTTGGGGGAATGAAGGCACTTTGGTGGGTCGCGTGGCCGGCTTAGAAAAAATGATGGAATGAGGTGAGTCAGGAGCCAATGAAGAGGAAGAAGATAGGGGGAGAAGTGTGAAGGTGTCTGACCTCGGGGAACAGTGTTGTGAAATGGAAGGAGTCCCTACCCACACTGGCTGGGACGGGGGGACAGCGCTCAAGGCCGTCCCTGACGGGACAGTGGACAACGGGGGGAGCATGCTGGCATGAGGCAAACCTGGCATGGCGGCTGCTTCGCCTCCCCCTCGAGGTCTTGGTTGGACCAGAGACTCGGTGGAATCCTTGGAAGGCTCAAGGGAGGCGCTGTGTCCACTTCCTTGGTAAGGGGAAGAAGAGAAGTCCCCGTGAGCCCTAGCTCTGCGGGGGGTCCGGGGTGGAGGAGTGCGGGTGACCTGCAGCACGCTGGTGTTGTCAGGGGACGGTCCCAGCACATTCTTGATTCTGTCCACTGCCGAGGAAGACGGGACTTCTGAGAAAGGCCATGTTGGTGAAATCGGTAACAATTTCCCATGAGGAAATGACTCTGGGATGGGGGTGACAGTGATCTGTAGATTGTCTGTTCCTGTGAAACAAAAGATCAAGCAGTCAGGCGTCAGACAGCCATTAAGTACCTACTGTGGTAGGTCCTGGAGAGAAGGGCAAACAAGACAGGGATCGCTCCGACCTCACAGCACTTCCACCCCATCATGGACTCATTACACACATTCCAACAATGAGTTAAGTAATGACAATATGCAAATACAGCAGCTAACCTCCAGGGCAGGGCTGGTGAGAAGGAGTCTCTGATGAAGGGATGGTTAAGCACAGATAGGGAAGATAGCGGTGTATTTTAAATCGTTTTTCTATACCACCTACGAGTCACAACCTACATCAAAGATGAATCTGTCTTCCTGCCATGGCCAAAAACACCAGAATACACCTCCTCCAAGAACCCAAAGTGCAAAACGAAAGGACTGTGTGTCTGAGTGAAATGTTGGTTTAGGGCCCTAAGGCATCTCAAGCAGAATAACTAAGGTTGCCTATGTTTAGAAAGATGGCACCAAGGAGACATATTTATCTTGCTGGACTTAAAAGGATTCCTTATCAGATATATGGTTTGCAAATATCTTCTCCCAATTGTTAGGTTGTCTTTTCATTTTGTTGATGGTTTCCTTTGCTGTGTAGAAGCTTTTTAGTTTGATGTAGTACCATTTGTTTATTTTTTCTGTTGTTTCCCTTGCCTGGTCAGACATGGTACTTGAAAATATACTGCTAAGACCGATGACAAAGAACATACTGCCTATGTTTTCCTCTAGAATTTTTATAGCTTACCTGATAAGGGGTTAATATACAAAATAGATAAAGAACTCATACATCTCAACAACAAAAAAACTAACAACCCAATTAAAAAATGGGCAAAAGATATGAACAGATATTTTCTCAAAGAAAATATACAGAAGGTCAACAGGCACATGAAAAGATGTTCACCATCACTAATTATTAGGGAAATGCAAATCAAAACTACAATGAGATATCACCTCATGCCCGTCAGAATGGCTATAATTAACAAGACAAGAAATAACAAGTGTTGGAGAGGATGTGGAGAGAAGGGAACTCTCATACACTGCTGGTGGGAGTGCAAACTGGTGCAGCCACTATGGAAAACAGTATGGAGATTCCTCAAAAAATTAAGAATAGAACTACCATATGGTCCAGCTATTCCACTGCTGGATATTTATCCAAAGAACATTAAAATATGAATGCATAAAAATATATGCACCCCTATGTTCACTGCAGCATTATTCACAATAGCCAAGACTTGGAAGCAACATAGGTGCCCATCAAGGGATGAATGGATAAAGAAGATGTGGTATATACACACAATGGAATACTACTCAGCCATAAAAAAGATGAAATCCAGCCATTTGCAATAACATGGATGGAGCTTGAGACTATCATGCTAAGGGAAATAAGTCAGAGGGAGAAGGTCAAATACTGTATGATCTCACTCATAAGTAGAAGATAAAAACAACAAACAAACACATAGAGACAGAGATTGGATTGGTGGTTACCAGAAGGGAAGAGGGGAGGGAGGAGGGCGAAAGGGATGATTAGGCACATGTGTGTGGTGATGGATTGTAATTGGTCTTTGGGTGGTGAACGTGATGTAATCTATACAGAAATCGAAATGTAATGATGTACACCTGACATTTATATAATGTTATAAACCAATGTTACCACAATTTAAAAAGAAAGCATTCCTGACACCATCATTCAAGCATGTCACACAGCAAAGGAGAGTTCTTGCAGGTTAGGCTGTTTCCGAAAGAAGAACTATTCACACCCGCCCAGGACCAGAGCCCTTCATGAGGCCTGGAGACACCACGAGCACCCGCAGAGAAACAGACTGTTGGCACCACAATGCAAAACCACGGCAGAAAGGCAAGGGGACAGGGCACAAGGTGGTGACCCCACAGGCCCAGAGGCAAGGCAACAACTGGTCAGAAAGCTGGAAATTTCACCCTCGGGAAGAAAAACAACATCCAGCCTGCTGATTCTCTGGTCCCCTTCCCATGGTTCTGTGGTGTCGACGGTGCTGATGACCCCAGAGGTGGCCAAGTGCCCTTAAATAATATTTTAAATTAAAAATAAAAAAGAAAGAAAGGGTCCTTCTAGAGCTTTCTACATAATTAGCTAAAAACGTTAGAACCATGTGATAGAAACAAACAAGTCAAGAGCTAGAAGTCAGAAAATCTGGTGTGAAGTGGAGCATGGGGGGATGGAGGTAAGGATGGGTCATGTACAGGAGCAAATCTGTATTTTAGAACAACCATTCTGGCTATGGAGTGAAGAACAGACTGGAAAGGGGCAAGAGTGGATGACACAAGGCCAGGGAGGAGACACCCGCAGTGGCCCGGGCACAGGATGACAGGAAGGTTGTAAAGAGGGGTTGAGCCATGGGTGGGAGACTGAAATAGATCATCCTTTACGGTCCCTTTCAACTCTCAGAGTTCAGGATAACAGGTTTGTGCTTGTATATGTGATTGGGTTTTTTTTAATGGCTGCCAATTCTCCTATATGCCTCCCATTGAGAGGTGAGGTCTAGGTCCCCTCCCCTTGAATCTGAGTGAGCTTGAGACCATTCAACCAGTTAGTCTGGCAGAAGTAATGCCATGTGACTTCCGAGGCTACTGTCATGAAAAGCCAGGCAGCTTTCGCTTGGTCTCTTAGAAGGCTTGCTTTGCATATGCTCCCTCACGCTCCCTCCGGGAACCCAGCCACCGCTCTATGAGCAGCCTAAGCCACATGGACAGGCCATGTGTAAGCACTCCAGTCAACAGTCCCAGCTGAGCCAAGCTTCCCAGTCACACCAGCCCAGGCACCAGACACTGAATGAAGAAGCCTCCAGATAATTCAAGCCCCCAACCATTTGAATCACCCCGGCTACCTGCGTCTTCCCTACTGAGCCCCCAGCATTGTGAAGGAGAGACAAGCCATCCTCACCGTGCTCTGTCTGAATTCCCGAACCAACGAACATAATACAATGGTTGTTATTTTACAACACTGAGCCAGGGGTGGTCTGTCGAGCAGCAACAGTAACAGAAACAGTACCGGGCTGGGTCCCTCGCCTCTGGGAAGTGAGTCTCCATAGCTCTAATTAGATTCCCAAAAGGATTCAGAAGCCAAAACAATTACAATGAAAATTACTTCTGTTTTATAATCAAGATTTTAAAATTATGTCAGTGCTAATAAATAAAATATATCTGTATTAATTAAAGTTGCATCATGGAAGGAATAAGAAGGAAAGAAAAAATTTTGATTATTAAGAAGAAAAGGAAAGTATTTATTAAGAAGAAAGGGAAAGTAAATTGGGAGAAGCAAGGCAAAACCAAATTACAGAGAGCTTCAAACACACTCAAAGAAAGGCAGTGAAGGAGAAGTTTGATAAAGGAGGTGTGTTGCACAGATGCTGAGGTATCCCCATGATCCTTGTCTCTTGGTGGTCATGCTTTTGTGTGGCCCTCTCCTTGAGTATGAGTAGAACCTGTGACTTGCTTCTAACCAGCAGAATATGGTAAAGGTGATGGCATGTCACTCCTGTGGTTATGTTATCTTAAATAAGACTATCTTGCTAGCAGACTTGCTCTCCATCAAGGAGAGGCCTTATTGGAAAAGCCCATGTGGCAAAGATCTGTAGGTGGCCTCTAGAATTGCAGGCAGTCTCTAGGAACTACAAGTGACTGCTCAGAGTGGAGGGTGGCCTCCAGCTGACAGCCAGCAAGAAACCAAGGCCTTCAATACAGCAAACACAAGGAAATGAATTCTGCCAACAACCTGAGTGAACTTGAAGTGGATCTTTCCCCAGCCAAGCCTCCAGATGAGAATGCAGCCCAGCTGCCACCATGACTGCCCCCTTGGGAGACCTGGTCCAGAGGATCCAGATGAGCTGTGCCCAACCTCTTGACCTGTGGAAACTGAGGTCATAGCTGTAAGCTGTTTTAAGCTGTGAAGTCAGCAATAGAAAACTAATACAGGTAGGAAGTAACAGGCTGTATGGGGAAGCAGGAGTATATGAGAAAGAGATGGAGCACGAAGGACCATGATGAAAAGTAGCATGAAGGATGATGGCAAGTGGCCATCAAGATGGTAAAAAAGAAGCACAAGTAGTTATGTTTGTTTGGAATATCACAGAGAATAAGCTGTGAAATAAAAATTCTAACATAGTACCTGGGACTCAGAGGAAGTTACCTGAAGAGAACACGGGACTTTGCAAGAGTAGAAACAAAGCCACAGCAGCAAATAGCAGCAGGCACGTTGTAAGGTTGCTATGAAACAGGTTGGACTCTTCTGTTTAAATCCCATTTTTCAAGAAAAAGAAAGCCACACTATTCTAATCAAATAACCGAATTCTTGTTTTTCTCAATGAAATCCCACTGACTCTCCAATCATCCCCCACCCCCAAAAAACCCATAACTTTCTTCTACTTAGAATGACATGGATTATCCTTTGCTAACAAATATGGTAACAGCCTTCAAAAAATACACAGAAAGCAAAGGTTAAGTCCCACACACTGAAGAGGGAGATGCAAGACAGGGGTGTTCTCCTGCACACGCCCCAGACTGGCCATCCTTTCTGAACATTACAGATATCCCGCAATCCAGGGACACGCCAACAATTCCCCTCTGTTTGAACAGACCACGTTTCCCACAAAGGGACTGGGAATCTAAAGAATCTTAAAGGGAAGTAGCTTAAATGGTGAGAACTTGAAGGGGGCTCTGGATGAAGAAAGATAGGGAGCAGAGGTGGATTTGTGTTGGAGACGAGTGAACGCAGGCAAGCTGAAGACCCTCAAAATAATGAAGAGAAAAGTTAAAATGAGTCATCTCTTCCCTTCTCAAGGAAACAAGAATGGGCAGTCACACAAACCCTCCTCAATAGACAACTGACACTCACATTTTAAACCAGGCTTGTTTGAGCCAAGTTTAAATAAAACCATGATTCTCAGAGCTCCAGGAAAGTGATGTCACTCCTGTCAGAATAGCAGCCTTAATAACAGCCTGCACAGGTGTGCACGCACAGGTAATGTACCAATGCTTCCGCCGCTTGGCAAGTTTGCGTAGAGTCTCATGAGAGCTAAACTTAGCCTTGAACCAAGAGTCAGGAAGCAGATCAACATGGCGACACATCAAGAGAGGTAAGAAGAGCTCGACCAGGCGTGGACACAGAGTCTGACACTGACCAATGTCGCACGGTGAGAGCTGCCCCTCTGTCCCCAGGCCTTGGAGCCCCACGCAGCAACACCTAGATGCACGATGACGGCTGTGCAGGCAGGTCTTCTGAGGCCCTCAGCACTGCCGCTTCATCCTCTTCGGGGCTCGCGCACGAGACGCAGACCCGCACTGTGAGGCTGCTGCCCTCAAGAGTCCCTGCCACGCGGCAGCCCAGCTCCAGCCTCCCAGAAGCCCAGAGGGGCGTCAGGTTCCTCTGCACCTTCTCTCCACTCCGAGCCTCTCTCCAGCCCCAGGGGCTGTGTCAGTCCCTGTTCATGGCTGTTTTTATCCCAGACCTCAAGTAAAGACCCTCCTTTCCAAAGCCATCGGAGTCTGAGACCTAGGAGCATTCTCATTCGGCTCAGAGGGCCTCTCAAGGCTGCCCTGCACTGCTTCTGAATTCCTCTGACTGCTCTCGTCCCAGCTATAACCATGGCCTTCTCGTCAGGGCTGTTCCTCTCTACTGCTGGAGACCCCATGGAGAAGACAGCCTTCCCCCAGCCAGACCCATGCCCGCTGAGGCACGGCTGCGTGCCCAGCCACGGTTGTGAGACCACCACTTTGTGCCCCTCACTGCCCGCCAGCAGGTTTTCTTAATTGCAGCACTTAAAGAGAAGCAAACCTGATCACCAACAGCTCTTAAATGTAGGAAACTGACAACCAATTAATAAACATTAATAAGTATCCCCAAACCCTCTGCCTGGTATGTCAGAGAAAAATATCTACAGCTTTCTACCAGGCCCCAGAGTCAGACTGCCTGGATTCAAATCCCACTCCTCCACTTGCTAGCTGCGTGACCTTGGACAAGTTACTTAACCTCTCTGTGCCTCAGTTTCTTCACCTGTAAAATGGGGACAATTACAGGACCTATCTCCTGGTACCTACAGCACCATGCAATTGTTTTAAGGATTAAAATGAGGTGATATATGTAAAGTTGTTAGAACAGTGCCTGGTACATAGTGCTTCAAAAATGCTAGCTAGCATTGGCATTGTGATGGTGATCATTATTTGCTCAGCCCAGGGTAAGCGTGGATGCACTCAGAGGACCCGGACACCGGTTAGAACTTAGCAATGCCTGCAGATCATGCACTGTCACAGTCTCACACATCTGTGGAATCTCTTAGATTTTGCAAAACACTTTCATACCCTGAACCCGCCTGTTCCTCACAGTACCTATGAGGCAGAGGATAAAGGTTCTCATCCCCATGTTACAGGTGAGGAACTCAGGGCTCAGGGAGGTCGAGCGGTGGCTCACCAAGGTCACGCTGAGAGCTACCCTATAGCCAAGTGTCACACCACCCCTTGACTTCAGATCCAAGGCCCTCTGTTCCGCGTGGGAAGGAGCAGGTCTTCCTCCATCTCCAGGTCTGGGGTGGGCTCCATCCTCCCAGAGGAACCCCGACAGACGGGAGCCCACACAGTAGCTGCCTCTCTCTCCTGAGTCTGTTGATGAATCTTCTTGGGTGCCGCTTGGGTGAACGTGACGGCGCGCAGCTCTGCATCCACGACCGCCGCCGGCTCCGACTCCCCGCGGTCGGAGAGGACTGGCAGCCGCCGAGGCCGCGCCCCACAGCGGCAGTTCTCACGCCAGCGCCGGACGTTCTGCCCGGGACGGTTCTCCTGGGGCTGTGGAAAATGAAACGCGCGCCCAGCAGAATCCAATGACCATTCCTTGAAGTGATGCCAGCACAGAGAAGGTTCTGTTTACTATCGAAGCATTTTAACTTTCAAAGCTCTTTCACAGCTGTTTTCTTTTTTAAAAAAGCTTATTGCTTTCAAATCCTTTGTGAAACAGGTTTAAAAATAAAGTTGATTTTTCCCCTATTGTAACAGTAATATAACTTCGCTTTCATTTTTTAAAATTTAGAAAGGATGGAAAAGTAGAAAGAAAAGAAAAAGAATCCTATGCCTCCCTCAGTCCTCTCCCCATGCACGTCCCACCACAACTGAGAAAACCAGGATTCATGCTGTGGTGAATTTACTTCCAGACTCCATTCTTGGACAAGCTTTGGTTGCTTGCTTTTCAGACCTGTGATCACACTGCATATCCAACTTTGCACCTGCTTTCTCTCTTTTAACATTATAATATTTTTCCATACGGATAAGGCTGTGTAGTATTTCCACTAAGAAGTGGTATTATAATTTAAGCATTCCCCAACTGTTAAGGTACAGGTTGTTTATAAATGTTCAGTGTTATGAATAAGGCTTCATCTCCTTACAATTTTGTCATCACAATCTCCATGCAGCAGGGAGACGGGCACAATGACCTCCCCTTATGGAATGACCCCACCCCCCCAACAGAAGATCATCTGCATGAGGAGAAGTGCATCCCTGGAGATTCTCTCCTCCCCATGCCCTGGCATCCTTCTGATCCTCCCGAGGGGGTCTTCCATAAGTTTAAAAACTTCCTCCCACAAGATGGCCTAAACTCAACCACAGAAAACACAAGTCACCACCGATAACTGACCTTAATAACTAGGACAATCCTATTAGCAAACTTTCCAAATTTTCGTATTAATTTTTAATATTTCATTCTTATGGCCCAAGGGGAGTTGAGACCATTTAAATCCAGTAGGTGAGAAAGCCTGGAGATATAGGAAAGTCTTTACTTAAAGAAAAGCAGCAATAGGGGCTCAGAGAGTTGGACAAAAAGACAACATACAGGTAGACCAGGCTCCCCACCATGTTGAAAGGTTTCAATGTGAACCGTTCCTAAATGAGAGTCCCACAACTAAGATGTCATTGCTCTTTATGTTTAGCTCGACTCGAGTACTTTTCCCTTTCTGCTTAGTATTATAGCCAATTATCTCCTTCATTTGCTCAATCACTTAACATTTAACCCACAAATTCATGTTGAATGCTTTATCTGATAGTCACTCTCTTACAAAGATTAGAAAACTGCATTTCTCCCTGGGAAGGTGGTCAAACAACACGGTTCAGGGTGTGGGGTCTGGAGGCAGAGCAGCTGGGTTCGTAGCCTGACTGCCATGTCCCAGCTGTGTGAACTTAGGCAAGTCACCTACCTCCCTGTGCCTGTTTCCTCCTTCCTGAGATGTGGACGGTAATAATCGCTATCTCACAGGCTATCTTGAGGCTGAAAGGCATTAATCCACGTAGGGTATTTGGAACACATCCTGGTACACAGTTAGCAGCCGATAAATGATACTTATCATGACTATCGTCAAGGAGCACAAAATCTCATTAAGATGCTTCAGAGTCATATCTTTTTTCTAAACCATGATAAAAATAAATTCCTATACTCCCACTTTTGTGGCAAACTTATTCAATCTTCTCAGGAGGAGTTCACATTTCTTACAATGAATCCCTTTTCTCCAACCATAATTCTCCAGTGACCTCCTGGGTAACCCGTCTGGCTTTCTTAGCATCAGTAAGATCACTGAGCTTCCACATTAGATCTCCCCCTAAAGTGTGCTTGTTTCCACAATCGAGCACGTGGTTTGGGAGATGACTTAGCGTGGTTGCAAAGTGAACACTTTCCCATTAAGATTCTTTACAAACCTAACTGTAGCTATAGCTGAGACACTGCAAGAAGAAAGCAGAAACAGAACAAGAGTTTCTCATACATATATTCTCATATTATATATATACACACACACACACACACACACACACACGAGAATAATCTGAGAACCAAAATTAATGCAGAAATGAAAAACCTAAACAGACAAATTAACATAGGAAAAAGGAGCCATTGTTGAAAAAGGCACCAGGCCTAGATATACTCAGGTGAGTTCTATCTAACTTTAAAAACAATAGGTAATTCTAATGTTATTAAACTAATTCAGGCCTTTGAAATATATGAAAATGTCCCCTAATTCGTTTTATGAAACCAGTACTGCTTTAATACCAAAATCCAATGAAGATATATTAAACAAATAAACAATGATCAAAATATGTAAATGCATGCAGGGCAGCCAAGCAAAAATGTGTTTGTTGGGGGGAGATTGCAATAAAAATCAGAAACCTATATACACGCCAGGATCACATTTGTGCAATAATATAAGAATTATGTATGTGTATATATAAAAAATTATTTAACGCATAAATTATCAATTAGTAAATAATAAAAACCTTATAAATTCTGTGGCAGTCAACACAAACACAAACGCAAGCATATGCACAAAACATACCTACACACGAGAGGAGGATGTAAGGCTCTTCACTGCATTTAAGGACCAGATAGTACGATCCTAGGCCAAACTCTGGACCCTTAATGTTTTCCTGAAGGTTCTCATTTGCAACCCCAACCTTATTGTGCCAGCTACATTGTTGCTCATGATAGGCAAAGACTTTCCCATTCATTCTGCATCTTGTAGGATATTTTGTTAGGTTGAAAAGAAAATAATCCTATATTAGGGACATCCAGACAAACTGACATTCTCTAAAACTGAGAATAAGCAAAGATAACCATGTTGCAACATCTGTTCCAATAAACACTGGTCCCATGCCATGATCTGAGGGGAAAAAGATTCTGTATTCAAACAGTTCAGGAAATCTCTTACGGGAGATTCCTGGTGCAGACAAATACACTAAAGTCTCAGAAAATCTCTGCTAAACAGAAGTTCTGATTAATCTAGAAAATCTCCAAACTAGTCAACTGTAGAACTCTTTCTTCTTTTTCTTTTTTGCATGATACCAGTTAATATCCCAAGGAACCACTGCTCTGAAGAATACCTTGAGGGAATTCTAGCTTAAGATCATTTCAGAATTTGAAGGCTTTGCCCTGGAGCAATTTCAGACACAGAGAAAAACCAAAGAAGAACTGATGGGTGGACCGAATCCCCTGCGGGATTAAAAAACATGTTCTTTGTCATTATATAGCTGGCAAACCCTACTCCTGTGTGCTGAGTTCACAGTCTATTTTATCAGACTTACGAACTCGTCTACGGATGCGCCTCACTTGAGATGGCATCAGAGTGAGCTCTGAAAAGAGCTGTCACAAATGTGAAGGACCAGCGTCATTATACTGATTGGCTCTAATGCCTTCTTGGGGCATTAAGTTAATTTAGGTAAAATGATAATATCACTAACTTGATCATTTTCCCCTGACTGGAGTCATACGAGAAAAATGCTCCACAGAAAAGGCTGTGTGACGCTGCATGGACACTGATGTTCTTCCTACAATTAGACACTAAAAGCCTGCAAGTATCCATGGGGGGCCAAAGAAGCAGAATATGTTGCCAATATTAATAACAAATATTATTATTAACTCTTAATTCATATTCATTGACAACTGATTTAGGCCTAAGTTTTACTATAGAAGTCTAACTTCATTAATAAGAATATCACTATTGCAGGATTTGTTAACTCAGATTCTTATAAAAAGAAATTATCGACCAACTCTATGAAGACTGAATAATGATTAAACTAATTGCCTCTTAGGTCAAAAAAAAGATAAAACTTATTCTAAGTAAATAATTTTCAACCCTTTAAAAATACCAAAACTCAAAAAGATAGCCAATGTTTCATAGCAAATAATTTTCGTTTATAGTTTATTTGCTTTAGTGTTTACATAAGTGGTCATATCAAGATAGCCTTTATTCTTAAAAATTCTATAATTTAGACATTTCTAACTGAGACTACATGTTCTCTCATTTGGTATAAAATATAGTAAGATCTATCTATATTAAGTTTAAATTTATTCCATCAACAAAAGTTCCCTTTCTATCTCCCAAGGCCTTGGCTTACCTACTAATAACCAAAATCATTAGACATAATTTTTCAGTATTGACAACAGATTTTCCTTTATCCTTCTAGTCTCCTCCAGGCTAATCTGTGACTTGCAACAGAGTCTTGAGAAGTCTGGCCAGAACGAGGAGCGCCCACAAGAGGAAACCCAAATGCTGGTGCTCTCCCTACTTGGCCTTCTAGGCATAGACCCCACTCTTCTTAGGAGAAGCCCAGGACAGACGGCAGCAACTGATGGGCATCGGGGAGGAGATGCCGTGTGCGTCTGCCTGACCGCCACATCCTTGAAAGACAGGAGTCCACAGTAAAAGTATCCTGCTGTAGACATGAAACTTATCCTTTCTACAGTCATCCAATAAATCTGCTGAGTGCCAGACACTAGCACTTACTGAATGTTTCCTGTAGCCCAGCATTTTTCTAAGTATTTACAAATATGAACACACTTAATCCTAACAACACTGCTGTCAGGAAGATGCTTGTAACGGTTAACTGTATGTGTCAATTTGACTGAGCCACGGGGTGCCCATATTAAACATTATTTCTGGTTGTGTCTGTGAGGTTGTTTCTGGATGAGATTAGCATTTGAATTGGTGGACTCAGTAAAGTGGGCTGCCCTCCCTAGTGTGGGTGGGCATCATCCAATCCCTCAAGGGACTACATAGAACAAAAAATCAGAGCAAGAGAGGATTCATTCCCTCTCTGCCTGTTACAGCTGGACATCAGTCGTCTTCCTGCCAGTGCATTGGGATTCACACCATCGACGCCCCTGGTGCTCAGGTCTTCAGATTTGCACTGGAATTGCAACATGGGCTTTCCTGGGTCTCCAGCTTGCCAACTGCAGATGGTGGGACTTCTCAGCCTCCACAATTACTTCTCAGCCTCCCAATCCTCATAATAAATCTTTTTTTTTTTTTTTT